ATCACTAAGGCCTGCTGATATTCCATATACTGCAATCCAATAACGAATATTGCTTCCAAAAATTTGGTAGTGTTATAACTTCATGAATCAAATTTTTTTTATATTGAAAATGTTTCTCTCTATATTTTCTGTGTGACTCCGGAATGAGCACGAATAATCCTCAAACCGGATAATCCGCGCACGGATAATAGAGAGTGTACTGTATTTTAAAGCTGACAGTTGCATAATTTTTTTCATGTTATATTATACCGAAATCTTGAGTATCAGCTATAGCATTTAAAGGCGCAAGCGCCTGAGATTTGTAGAAATCTTTTGATTGTTGAAACTATATATTTCTTCTAAACATTGTAGCAATCTGTGATGATAGCTTTTATTAAAGCCTTATAGAAAATGGCTAGAGTTAACTTGGTGCCATCTGATGGTAAAAACACTCATTCCACAGTTTAGTTTTTCCTCTTTTTGGTTTCAAACCTGTTTTTATCTATGGTTGAAATGGTTTTGTATACAGGTATAGTAATGTTTTCACATGTTGTGTCTGTTGGTCTATGTTTGAACACTTGAATGTTTTTTCCCCTTTGATTTATGGGAAACTAAAATAATTAGGACTGACTGATTATTTTTTTTCATGTTTTTGAAATTTTGTGTGGTAATTTCAACTAGAATAAATTATGGCAGCGTATTTATAAATGTATGACATAAATATTTTCAGAAATTCATAGCAAGAATCTATTCTCATAATGTTACTTAAAATGTTTATTATTTTAGTTATACAGTACAGAACCCATTATCCGGAAATCAGAAAACCGGAAAATCAAAAAACAGGAGCGACATTCGATAAATATTCCCGCCATTTTTTTAAAAAAATTGTTTTTTTTCTTCTTGTTTCTTTCTTTTTGAAGGATGTTTACCTTACCATCATTTTGGAAATAATCATTAGTGTATTACTTCATCGTTTTTTCTTTTTTAAGATTATTTCCAAAATTTTTTTTTTTTTTAGTTGGGTTTAGCAATAAAAAAAAAGCGGCTTTTTGTAGCGATTCAGAAAACCAGAAAAATAAGTTATCTGGAATAGCGATGGTCCCGATAGTTCCGTATAATCGGTTCCCTACTGTAATAAAAATCTATTTTCCTAGAAAAATAAAATGAGAGATTTCATTGTGTGTGTTGTATTATTTAGGAATATAATTAGACAATACAGTATTCCGGACTTGTATCAGAAACGTTTTACACAGGAAAATTATATTGTGTCGTTTGGGATTTATTTTAACAAGATTTGATTCAAGATAAAATGGGACCACTCAATTTTTTTTTAAATAAACAAATTCAAAATTTCTTTTTTTTTGATAAATACATATACAAATAAATTATACATATTAAAATATATTTATTTGAATATACATATTAAAATAAAATATACATATTAAAATATATTTATTTGAATATACATATTAGATAATATATATATTCTCAATACTGCATTAAATTTTTATTACTTTTTTTTCAGCATAAAAAATGTTCAGTGCTCATCGAGAAATTGACTGAAGCAAAGAAGGCAAGTGATCATGCACTTCTAGAAAATAAAGAATCGTGGTTGCGCCAGGAAGAAATATTCCAACGTGAAACAAAAGCTCTGAAATCAAAGATTTGTGATTTGGAATCTTGCAATAATAACCTTCATACTCAATTGGAAATGGTGAGTTTACATCTTTATAATTTTTAAATGTTTTTTTTTTTGTTGAATTTTTGGTTCTATATTATATATTAGAATGTCGTCCAAGCGTGTCATGGTAAAGGTAATATATTTTTTTTTAATTCTTATTGGTGCAATTGTTATACTTGTAAAATAAGAGAACTGTTTTAAAATTTGTATTTTTATGTTTGAATATTTTTTCTTATAGCTTGGAACTCAAATGGCAGCTTTACAATCTAAAAATTGGGACGATACACCTTGTGCAAACCTTCAAGCTGACTTGAAAGACACACATCATCTTTTGCAAGTAATTCAGTAAGTTAAGACTTTTTGTTTAATATTATTTTATTATATATATTTTCTACATTTCTACTGGAACAGGTGTGCCACATTTCTGCAAACCTGTAGAATTTCAATTACTTAACTTCTGAAATTGATGCAAATCAGTAATAAAATTGTGTTCATGCGTACAAATATACTCATTTCTAAGTTATGAACAGCATTTAAAAATTTTAATTCTCCAAAAAAAGCCAATGTCATATCACTCTTGATGATCTGCGTTATATTTAGATAATTTAAAAGAAAGACTTATTGAACAATTATACAATTTTAGCATTTAACTATAAGACCCTTAGGAGATTCTGTAAAAGTTATTTGATTATCTTTGTTTTATCTGCCTAACATGATATTTCAGAATTTCTAGGACTTTTGAGTTATGTTATAAATGGGATCCACACCAGCAATGAAAATTTGTTGGTTCAATAGGACCACCTGGATATTAATTTAGTGGTCCAAAACCTTAATAATTACCTTAAACCTTATCTGACTTTACAGCTACATAATTCATGTTATGGTACATATCAAAAATTATTCATTACTATTTATTAACACCTTTAAACTAATTAGGTTCATTACCCTAAAATTAGTATTTATTAAAGATTATTAAGGTGATTAGTATTTATTAAAATGAAGTTTAAAAAAAATCTAAAATAACATTAGTAATTGGATTCATCATAAACATTAAATTGCTGAGACCAAATAAGCAAATGAAGAAAACAGAGAAAGTAGGAGCTAACAAATATTATATTAAAAATTGATTAATTGAAGGTATAAAATTTTAAATAAAGTCAGTTCTAAGTGAGCAAAAAAAATACTTTCAGTACATGAATGCAAAGCACAGCACAACATGTAAGGTTGAAATTTCAATTTGAAAAATTTTGTATCAGACTCTCTTAGTTATTCCATGTTAAATACCATACTCTTGAATTCCATATCATGAGTAAAGGAATAAAATTAGTACAGCATTTTTTTTTTTTTAGCTGCATGGATTCGAGGAAAAGAGCTATTTTTCTGTAATATTTTGTAAATTTCAAACATATTTCAAGGTGGAAAATTTGTCCCTTATACATATGATTTGAACACTTGGGGACAATTGTCGCTATATGACGTTGCTCACTTGAACCCTAGTTATTAAAAAAGAAAACTTAATTGAATTTAATTTTATTGTAGTATTTTATAAGAGTGAATTTGGGAAGCCTTCACTAATTTAGAACCTCCACTAATTATGAATCTTAATATAATGGAGATTAATCTTGTGATGGAACATATGAGGGGCATATGTCTTTGACCTATGCATGACCTAGATCAGCGGTTCTCTATTTTGTTTAGCTATTAAACTCTAAATGACCGATTTTTTTGATTTTTTTTTGATAGAACTCTGACTTTATAAATCAAGTTTATGAACAATGGCAATCATATAACCAATAAAATGTTAATTATTTAATATGAAGATTGAAAATTTTAGATATTTTTTATTATAAGTTTTTATGTTTGTAAAATTTGCGGCAATAAAATAAGCTGAAATATGATTTTCATTGAAATAAAAACAAAAAAGAAATGTGATAAACATTAAAAATAGTTAATAGGAAAATAAACTTATTTTTTGTTGAATTTAGTTATTCTATTTTAACTTAGAAAGCTTGATGGGAAATAATGTTACAACCTTTTGAAGAGGCATGTTTTTCATAATTTTCTATGTTATTAGAAAAAAATTGTTTTGATAGCTGCTTAGAAAAAAAATTAACTACTAAATAAATTATCATTTACCACTGATAGGATTTAAATTAAATTTCAAAACTTGTTACAAATTTTATTTCTTTAAGTCCCATAAAACCTGTAACCTGATGAACGAAACCCTTGTATTTTGTATAATGCCTTTTAAAATACCACTGACCAAGGTGGTGAATATGGGAAAAGAATAAAGAATTGTATTCCTTCTTCTACTGATACTGATAAATTTGTATTATTTTTATTAATTTTTTTGTGTGACCATGTACCTACTGAGTCAGAGAATCCTATAATTGTTAGGGAATTTGATTTCAGGAAAAAAAGTTTTAAGAGTAATGCAATGAAGTCAAAATCTAAAAAAAAATCAATAAACCTAAAAAATAATAACTTTTAAAATTGATGGTAGCAATAAGTAGCTAATGATGTTCAAAGTAGATAAGTCTATTATCTGTGCCAAATTATTTTTTGTATAAATTCTGCTATATTATTTTTTTTAAATAAAATTCAAATAATTTATGTAAAATGTTTTACTCCTGTTTTCTGTTTCCAATTTTTTCTTAAATATAATCATATTTGCAGTTTAATAATACTAAGTTTTAAAAAATTAAGCTTTCTAGAGAGAAAGATATAGATCGTAACTATATGACTAATATGAGTTTTTTCACTTTTTATGTAAAATGTTGCTTTTATCTATAATTTAAATATTTGATTTTTTTGTAAGCTAAATAGATGGCCTTTTGCCTAACAAAATTTTGTTTGGCATTTATTCTATCAAAATGTATGTTTTGTCGCCAATTGAATTAAGAGAATGTTAATAATTTTTCTGATCAAATATTTCTGTGTATAGCAAAAATGTAATGTGGAATTTGGTTGAAATTTTTCTGGATAAACTGGAAAAGTCAGCAAATTCTGAAGTTGAGTGAGCACTCTAGTGAGGATTTCATTTGATTCTGAGTACTTCATTCTAGTAGCATAGGACCTCTAGTTCTGAAAATGAACGAGGAAAAGAAACCTTCTATCTTGGAAACTAAGATTTTATATGATGTTAGCGTTGAAATTTTTTTTAAAAAGAAATTCTACTAATGAATCGAAATTTTTATTGCATAATGGTTACACCTACTGTTATTGCAGAAGATTTCAAAATGGGTGTTGGGGAGCTTTAAAATATAAAAAATAAATATTCTATAAAATATCTTTTATTTAGATAAACTTAAAGTTTGATGTATTTTTAAGTTTTATGTATTTTATTTGATATTGTTCTATTATTATTTTTTTTAGATTTATCAAGAAAGAAAAAGAAATAGCAGCTACACAATTTGATGTTGCTCAATCTGAAAATGTTAGGTTGAATTTAAAAGTAGAACAACTTACTAATGAATTGAAGTCTGTTCGTAGTGAACTTGAAGAAATATCAAGTAATGCACAGGTAACTATAAATCTACTTCATTATAATTATGAAATGTTTCATCTTATTATTATTTTTTTTTACGAAAAAGTTTGTCTAAAACTTTTTTTAACTTCATTGTCATTCTTCAGTTGTAACAAATTGAGATTAAAATACGGCAGGTTTGTTAGAATTTTTCTCTACATAAAATAAATATAACTGTGTATTTTTATTCTTCTTTAATGATGTATTTTTTTTGAAGCCGAATTATATCTATTAGTTCTAAAAAATTTTTTTTATTGGTGCGTAAAATTTTAAAATGAGCAGACACCTATTCAGTAAAATTTATTGAACATGTTATTACACATAGGGCAACTCTGCTGTGAGGTACTAACTAGTTGTTGTTTGGTTCTGTAGATTATTTTTGATTGAACTTTTTACTATTTTGATTATTTTGATCATTTGTAATATGAGCATTTTATTGGGATCATAAAATTATCTGAATAATCATTTGTGATCTTAAGAAAATGAAAGCTTTAGTATTGGATAACAATCATTGTCTCACTATATATTTTGGTCAAATATGTAAACATTTACAAATAACTTTCTTACTATTTAGAGCAGACTTCTACGACTATTCATTTTTTATTTAAATCCATATATAAAACCACAAAAAATTGAAATGTAAAGATAGGTTTATTATGAAGTCGTAATTTCACGGGTAGTTTATTATTATTATTACAATAATATAAAAAATGTGACTCTTAGAAGTAGCCAATTTGAGTTTAATTGATTAATTTAGATGACACTTCCTGAATTGTGTTAGAAAATGTTACATTAAACTTTTCATTTGAAAGTAAAGTATTTTATTGCATAATTTAAATTAATAGATAATAATGCAATAATTAAAATTCATGAAGAATGAGGCATAAATAAGAATTCTGAAGGCAAACCAGACTTGAATCTTTCTGATAGGGGTTAATATTTAGTAATAATTGAGAAAATTTAACTGAGGCTATAATTTAATGAAGCATATTTTTATGATCAATTATTATTTTTAACCAATCTTTTTTCTGTACCTTTATTGTTCCTTTAATAGTAATGAAGAAAAATAGTTCAGTAAAATCCTATAATGTATTTATGTGGAAGATATTTGACTTCTGTTAAAAATATGGTACTTGTTTCAATGTTTTGTAGTATTTTTAGTGGTTTATAAATGTTGATCTGTTTTTTTCCCCTATGAAAGAATTTTTTATATTTTTTTATTTATTTATTTATTTTGTGGTCATGATTACTCAACTATTGCAATTTTAGGCAAAAGCTGCTAGTGAAGCACAACATGCTGAACTTTTGACTAAAATTGAGAGGATGAATTTATTGAGTGAAAGTAATAATTTACTGAGAATGGAAAAAGAAGCTTTGGTTGAGGCCAAGACCAAATTGGAAAATCAAGTAAGCATGAAAAAAGATTGAATAAACAAGGTTGTTTTGTATAAATGTATTACCTATCTGTCAACCGTCTGAGCTTTTAGTCCTGACTTTTTCAAAACTTTTAGCTGCAGGCTTTCCTGCATCAGAAAATTGATTTTCTCCATGTTATTCCATAAAAATGTTGTTTATAGCTAGGAAAGTTCAGTTCAATTTGGTTTCTTGTAAGTAATTTAAGGCAGTTTGTGTTCCAAGCAGGGCTCGAAAAAACTGAGAAATTTTACCCTTCCCCGAGGACGGCTTGTCCAACAATGTACCCGTCCTCCTTTGAAACTAACCAATAGCTTCTAAATCAGGGATTTCCAACTTACATGAGGCCGGGGGCCACAATTAAAAACACAAATCAAATGGCGGGCTGCAACTTTATCAAAATTTTATGTAGGACTCTTTTATGTTTGAAGGAACATTAAATATTACTGTCAGATTTTTACCAAGTTGTACAAAACAAAAGTATTGAATTACAAATTAAATTAAGAAGTAGATTTTTAAAAATATTTAATTGCATATTGCAAAATTCGGGCAACAATAACTTTAATGTGCACCCATGTAAAACAATTAATGCGCAACAGATATCTAATTTTTAAGATATAAAACTTTAAAAAGGTTGGTATTAAAACTTACATAGTAGCACAAAAAATGTTCAGTGACAATATTGAGGTTTGTCTGCTGCAATCACCAGAGAATAGACATTTACATTTAAAATTTATAAATGTGTGTGTAAATATTTTTGTCCAAAATGAGTGGTTTCAAAAAGATAAGTCGGAAAATTTCTTCGAGAAAACTTCTGATACACACATGCTAAATTATATTCACAAAATACAAAAAAATGAAATAAAAAAGAGCAACATACACGATTATTTTTGTATTTAAATAAATATTTTCTTGGATGCAAAACCTGAGGAATAATTTTTTTACACTGTAGGTTATGATAAATTTCACAGAAGCGAAGAAATTATGTTTTTATTAATGAGAAAAGTATTTTAAACCCATATAGATTTTTTACGAAAATTGTCCGCAAAGAAAGTGACAACTAATATATTTTAGTTCGCGGGCCTAAAAAAAAAGCTTCGCGAGCCGTATGCGGCCCGCAGGCCGCCAGTTGGAAACCACTGTTCTAAATAAATAAAAATATAATTTTTTCTTATTTATTACAAACATTTATATAAATTGCACTATGAATTAGTAGTTACTTGGATTACAAATACTAGGATTACATTATACAGTAATGAAAGAAATACTAGGTTACTAATAGTAACCTAGTATTTCTTTTATTGAAATGACAAAGGTCAAGTTATCTGGAATGTCAATTTATTCGAGGGTACTGCGTTTTTTTGAGTTTGAAATTGAAAATGTATCACGAACATTAACGGGAAAATGGCCGTCCGAGTGGACGTCGGATTCGAGAAGTTGTCCGCGGTTCCAAGTATTGTTTTTTTGCCTTTCTGCCTTGTCTTTTTCAAGTGATATATAATTGAGCTAGTATTAAAAAAAATATTTAATGAAAAGTAACAATATTCATTGATAAAGGTTATGTAAACCATTTGATCATGTATGTATTCTAATTTATTTATCTCTTCTGTTTGTTGTATATCTTATTTGAATTTTAGTATATTAAGAATTTTTTCTTTTATTACTTGGGCTGTATACTTCAGTTCATTGCCTTACCTTTGCTTATAAATATATTTTTCATACAAATATCAAATGTGTTAGTGAATTAATTTTTCCATGATATCAAAATATATTTGGTTTAAATGGGAGGTATGTTATTATATTTTGCAGGTTGTTGCATGAATTTCAAACCTAACTCAAAATTGCACATATTTCATTTTTCTTTAAGTTATTAAGCTGATTGCTGTAATCTCAAAGTGACTTACTTATACAGGGTTGCCACAGATCAGGGAAAAGCAGGGACTTATCAGGAAGTATAATTACAATTCCCATAAAGTCAGGGAAAATTAGCGTTTAGGTTACAGTCTAATTTTCTAAATTAAAAAAAATAGTCTCAATGGTTTTTTTTTCTTTTTTTTTTTGAAAAATAATTTTTTTCAATTCCAATAACAAGTAATAACATATTTTTATTTAATAACATATTTTTTGCATAAAAATTGACATTAACTGAAAAATTATTTTAAAAAATTACTACAATTTACAAAATAGTGTTTAGGTTACTTAAAAGTCTAATTTTCTCAACAAAAAAAAAATAGTCTCAATGATTTTTTTTTTTCAAAAAATAACTGTTTTCAATTCTAATAACAAGTATGAATTTAATAATGCATTTTTCACATTAAAAATTGACAATAACTGAAAAATTATTTAAAAAATATACTCCAATTTTCTAAACGAGGGAAATTTAATTAAAAGAGCCTGGGAAAATCTATGAACTTTTCTAAGCGTTTGTAGCCACCCTGTTATAAAAATTTCAATACTAGAGCATAGTTTAAATTTATTTTTGAAGTTGCTATTTTTTTTCTTTTAAATTTCATTTATAATGAATTAGTTGCTCAGGCAGTAATTACTTGTGTCAGGAAAAATGATAAATTATTGATACCAAGTATAGCATTATTTGTTCTCTCATTTATTAACTCATTTATCAATTAATAATGATACTGTGTAAAAATGCTTTATCATCTTAATTAGTTTTTGCATTTTTTAAATTTTTATTAATGTTTAAAAATATTATTTCCCTTTAAAGTTACATCAGTTACAAGAAAAATTTCAACCCTTATATGAGAAAGAAAAAGAACTTGTTCAAAATGTTGATGTCTTGACTGCAGAAAATAATGCTCTTAGAAGTGAAGTGAAGAACTGGCAATCCAGAACAAACCAGCTGTTAGAACAGTCTCATAAGATTGGACCTCAAGAGTATAAAAATCTTATGTGAGTTATTGCTCTTAATGTAATTTCTATTAAATCAAATGTTTTTTAAGAAAATGAGTTTTAATAAACAGACTTTCTAAAATAATGCATATATATGTTTTTTTAATATTGACGCCAGTTAAAAGAAATGTTAATTAAATTGTCCCAACGTAAAGCTGTCTTAACTAGCTTACCTGCCTAAAATAGCTCTTACAATTAAACTGTAGATCAGTGATACCTATTTCTTTTTGGCTATGGAACCCTAATGGATTGACCTCTTTTTTGCAGGACCCTGATTTGCATTTAGTGAATATCTAGTCAAAGTCAATTTTACAATCCATTCTTGCGCAATATAGTTCACGGTTTTTGAAAAGTGCTTTAAAGAGCTTATGTTGAATTTTCGTTTTTTTTAAAAGCCCTTTTTTCATTGGGTGTTTTTAAAAAATGCTTAATTTTCCCTTTTCGAAAATAAGATTATTTTTTTTTACCGTGTCTATTTTTGTCACAAATTATGCAAAATATTGTTCTATTCAATGTTTTCACAATTCATTCAACCACAATATATTTTGGCATCCCGTTGGTCCATGGCTTATTAAAATGCCAATCATTTTGCACATTTGATGAATTACTTGTGAGTCCACATGTGCGCTGAGCTGGGTTTGGTGAGATTCTTGCACTCTCATGTGCAACTCTGCTGTATTTTTCAAGATATCTCAATTTCAGGCTTCATTTTCCACTGTCTGATATAGATTCAAAAACTGTCGGTAGAGTGAATTTTTTTTTTGGCATGTCTTACAGTGAGAAAAATGACATTAAAAACATAAATTCTGATAAGACAAACCAAATCGGCTGAAACAAAGGACTCCATTAAGTTATATAACTATTTTTCAATTCCTTGGATGAGAAGCAAAAATCAGTCATGAATGCTGAACTATTATTTATAAATTTTCTAATTGAACACAATATCCCAATTACCATTTCTATTCCCATTATTATTCATTATATTGTGCAATGAACTGTTAAACAAAGCAAAAAAACGTACAGTTAATTTTTTGAATAATTTTGTATTGTTCAACATTTTACTTTTTAATAAACCATAAGTCTTTCAAAATAATATTTAACCAATTCTTAAGCTAAAATATGTTGTTTGAATTGAAATGATATGATTTTTTTTAAAGCCTACATATTTTTTATTGATTATTTTTCATTTAACATTAATGGTTGAAATACTTTCTATTTCATCTTTGATATATAATTTAAAAATTCTGCATATATTCATTTTATTGTTATTTATTTTACTATTGTAATAGTTATTGTGATAGTATTGTGTTTTACTATTGTAATTTATTTTACTATTTTGTAAAGACTAACTTAAAGAACATAATTAAAATTTTTCATAATGTGTGTGTTTTTTTTTAAAAAAATATTTATTTTGTTACGGTTTTTAATATTTGTGCACTTATTTTTAATTATTTGTGTTCTGGCTTATACTTATTTATAGAAATGTATTCAAAAATTATTTAAAGTCTAGTTCTTAGATTAATAATTAAACTTTCGGACTAAATGTACTTTATAAAGAAAAAAATCTGATTTCAAAATATGTCTTTCATATAGGAAAATTTTGATTCACTGAAGGGAATTTCTACTTTACAAATATTTTTTCTATTTAGTATTCTGTGAAAAATCATATAAAAATTAAATTACAAAAATTAAAGTATTTCAAGTTCAAAAAGTATACCATGCTCAAAATATTTTGGTAAACGCTTTTTTGCTAAAATCTTCCTATTTTTGAGCTGAGATTTATTTTTGAAGAATTGTCTGTAACTTTCATTTTTTTAAAATTCTTTGGCTTGGTAGGTTCGTTGTTTAACATTACAACTTACTATATTGAAAAAAATAATTCGAATGGAAACTCATATTCTGTTGAAAATTACTTCAATTTAATTTCTTAAAAAGATGAAATGGACTAAAAAAGTTTTAAAGTGAAAAACCTTTTCCTAACAAAAAGATTATGTATACATAAGTTGATCAAAAAATTTAAAAGTATTTCAGTTAAAGAAAAAAAGAAGATATAATATAATTTGAACTAAATATTTTTATTTATTAATTATTTAACTTGGCTATTTTTATGCAAAATTTATTTCTTGTAGGCGAGAAATGGAAGAATTGAAATCTCAGAAATCCAGACTAACTGAAGAGCTACAACGTAAACAAGCTGAGGTATCTCAGCTGACTGCACAAGTGAATTCTCATGCAATGCATATAAACTCTCTGAAGAAAGATGCTGAATTTTTGAATTCTCTGAGAAATGAGGTGATGACTCTGAGGCAAGATGTGGATGTTTTTAAGAAAGATGTAGAGAATAAAGATGCAGAAATCCATAAGTTAAATGATGCACAATCTGAACACCAAAAAAATAGTTTGCAGGTATGAACTTTTTGATTAATGCACTTTTTTAAAGTTGTCTTAATGGCATTGAAATAAGTAAGCAGAGTATGTTATTATTAATACAATGTTATAATTTTAGTTCTTAATTCAATTAAGTTTTTTCCGTGCACCATGTTTGACTACACTTTTAAAAATTTTCTTGAAAATAACATGGATTTAAGAATGCAAATTATGCATATTAATAATGCAATCTTGTAATTTTTGTTTTTAAAACAAAACACATGTCCCACATCATTCACCTACTTATAAACTCAAAGTAATAATAATAAATAAAAAATAAATAAACTTTAAAAAAATGAAAATTTGCAAATGTTTATATATATATACATTAAAAATTTTTAAGTCTGTGTAAAACTAGCACTAGAAATAAGCAAAATTTAAATCTTAATGTTTGATTTTTTATTTATTCTAATTATTAGATAATTAAAACTTGTTAGCATTATTGATATTTTTAAATTTGCTTATATTGTAGCTTATTTCATTGTTTCAAAATTATTGCATTAAGTGATTCATTTTGCTTTTTGATATAACTACTGAATATAATCCCTGTAATGTCGGCAAAGCATCAGCTATAGTAAACATCCTTGTTAAAATAATCTATAAAACTGTTAGTTACTTTTTTCCTCCTGTTTCAAGATGTTTTTAATTTTATTTAATGCATTTACATTGATAAAAATGCATCAATTGTCTAAAATCTTTTGCTTTATTCATTATTCTGAACGAAAAACACTTTGATAAAATTATAAATAAATTTCCCGTTAAAAAAAACATTAAAATTTTTAGAAATAATTATCATAAAGATTTTTCCTTCCATATTGTGTTATAATTATATTAATAATAAAAAAAACAAACAATATAAAATGTAAAAGGCTGAATAATTTATGATAAAATATAGCTGAAAACTCCCTGGGCCACAACTTATGTACCTGGGTTATGAACTGTTATTATATATAAATATATATATATATAGCCAACATGCTATAGAAAAGAATGTAGTATAACATGCTTATGTTAAATTTTTCTATAATGTTCTTTGCCAATTAAGATTTTATTAAAGACTCTGTAGCAGTTAGGCATATCGGATTTGTAGCTGTATGTGTATATATAAATCAATCATGTTTTGCTTTTCTATATAGTTGAAAAAAATAGCAAGAAAATACAAGCAGCTCTCTGATGAATTTAAAGCTTCTAATGATGGTTTAGAAGAAAAATGTAAAGTTTTAGAAGAAAAATGTAAGACTTTAGAAGCATCTAAGCAAGAAGAGTCTACACAAGAAATGCAGAAAAAGGTTTCTGATAGTGAAAAAGAAGTAGTGGAGCTCAAAGAGGAAATAAACAAACAAAAACAAGTATGGTTCTTGTTATTTTAAAATAATTTAAACAATTTCATTTTTTATATAAAATATGAAAAATAGATGTATTTTTCTAATGATTCTTCTGCCTCATTTCACATTTTCTGGTCATGATTAAAATCAAATGTTTTCTTCAGTGAAAGACTAATAATCTTTTATTTCTTTATTCTTTTTATTTTGTTAGGTTATAGAAAAAGCTAAAAAAGACTCTGAAAATCTGCAGCTGTCAGCTAAAGAAAAGGAGGAGAAAGCAAAGAAACTACTTGCGCAGTTCCGGCAGAAATATTCGCAACTTAACAGTAAGTGTGCTGTTTCTTTATTTATTCCAACTTTTTATTAACCAGCCAATATGAATAAAATATAATTTAAAAAACCAATAACAGGCATAATTTTGAAGAAAAAAAATTTTTTTTTTTAATTTCACTTTTATCAAAATATTTACAACTTTCATTTATTTCAGATTTCTGTTTCTTATATTGATGATTCCATGATAGTTAAGTGCAAGAAAAAATAAATTTCTATATTTATTTTCGTAATTAAATTAAAGAATAGAGCAAAGTGCAATATAGCTCCCAAAATGTTAGGCGATTTAAGTAACTCAGTAATTTTTTTAGGCTAAGTTTATTGTGTCTGAAAACAAAATGAATATAAAAGGAGAAAATATATATTTTAATCTAATTTTTTTTTTCTAATTAGAAGTTCATGTCATTTGTTTTTTTTTTTCAACCAAAAATATAGAAAACCTTAAAACCTGCTTAACCCAATATGTTTTCTCAAATTTTTGAAGAATTATTGTTTATGGACAGTGATTATTTATTTTATTTTTTTATTTCTTTATCGAATCATGCATAGTAAAAATGAGAATGCAATTCATGCATTCTCATTTTTACTGCATTTTAATACCTTTAGAACAGTTTTTCCTAAAGTAGATAAGTTTTCAAATTTGGTCAAATAAAATTTAATATTCACATTTAGTTCTATCTTACATGCTATGTTTTTATTACATTTTCACTTTATGTTTTAATTTTTAATACCAATTTTCATTTTAAAGGAGAAAAGGAGTCCTTGGTTGAAGAAAAGTCACGATTAGCAAAAGAAATAGAAGAATTCAAAAGCCAAATCTCAGCCTATAGTTTATCTCGTGAGTGGCATTTTTATTTGAATTTTTACAGCATTCATAATTACTTTTTTAAAAAGTTATTTGCAAGGTCCACTATTTAGTAAATATTCATGCCTTACAGAAAAATGTTTCTTCATGTTTTAAGTCTCATTTTGTTTTTTTCCAGAAGAAGAAACTGCTCAACAAAGGAATCATTCAGATGCTATAATTGCCCGTCTTGAAAAAGAACTCAAAGCTGCTAATGATTTAAGATTATCTGAAAGAAAACAATATGATGAACTGCTGCTGAAAGTAAGTGTAAAACATTTGTTTAAAAACTGTAGCATACAGTGAAGAGTATAAATTAATTTTAAATTGTTTAATTTAGGTATCACAGCAAAAGCCAGGTATTAAATCCCCCATTGTTGGATTAGGAGATAGAACAAGGTAATTACCCAATTGTGTCCATTTCTTATTTTATTGAGTGTCCTCAGTTTCCATTATCCATATTTGATTATCATTGTTGTAACTTGATAAGAATTCCCACAGATTCACAGAAATGTGGAAATTTAATCTTTTTCAGGGAATATTGCATAAATGGGAAAAATATTCTACAATTAACCTTGAAAATTATTATTCTTAAAAAAGAGAGTGACAATAGCCTTTAAGCCTTTCTGGCTCAAAGTAAATAAATCGTAACATTGGGATTGCTTTTCTGAAAATTCCATTGTAACATGTTGCATTTTCTTTGTTTAATGGAAAGTGAAATGTAAATTTGTACAAAATACTCTTTCTTAAGCAATTTTTGTTTAAATATAAGCATTAGTTTAACATTGTTCACTTGGTTGGTATTATTTTAAGTTAAGCTTACTGCATAAAATTAATTTAATTTTTAACAATTAAGATAAATGACAAATTGGAACCTGTGACATTTTTAATAAATTTTATTACATTATGTATTTTATTTTACAATCGGCGTTGGACAGCCAACCCAATTTTCGGTTTACGACTACTAATGTTCAACTACTAGCCTTGTAATTTTGAACCCAATGCAAAAGACATTGGATTTCTTGAATCAAGTATTGAAAGAAATTTGCCTTCATGGAGGACTTTTTGATGGAACTAACCTGCATTTGCGTTGCATGGAGTGGAAGACCACGAGAACCTCCCATGGTTAGTCCATGGATACTAACCCGTGATCTATCTACCACTGAGGATATTTCACGTCAGCACTATGGTCGGTGCAAGCCGGTGAATTCGTATCGACCAGCTACCCCCGGGATCCGGATCCCCTCATTGGAAGGCGAACACTCTATCCCCTGAGCCATTGTGGCTCTTTCATTACGTATTGTCAATTTTTTTTCCAGCATCTATGCAAAATGTTGCTTTGATTTATTATCTATGGACTTGCATTTCATAAAACCTATATTCACATGCCAAAGATGTACTTCTCACAAAATGTAATGTTTGACACATTTTCTACATAAAAAAAAAGACAGAAAGTTTGCTGCATGTTGAATAAAAAATTATATATTTCTCATGAAATATTGCTGTGTGTAAAAAAATGTGAGCTATGAATTTTTTTTTCTTAGAATGGGAGCCCAGTTTTCTTGAACAAATTTATTTTACTTTTTATTTAAACATATCTTATTCATATATCTATTATTTACCTCCATTAATAGTGGTGGAACAGAACCTTTAACAGCTAATATAAAACCCATTACATCACCTTCTACATCTGGAGCGGCTTCTGGATTAAGACATTCTCCTCATCCTGTCTCTTGCTCTAATCGGCCAACTCCTACTGCTAGCATACGGCCAATGGCTATTGGCACTGCTCCTCCCACACAAGCACGTATGGCGGCAGTATTGCCTACAACAGCCACTCCTCCACAAAGTGCAGATGATGGTAATTTTAGTTTTTGTGTATTTACATCTTTGAAATATTTTAATATTATTTCGTTTAGATTTTTCTTGAATATGATCAGTAAATTATGTAGGTTCAGGATAATTTGTTTTCTTAAAACCATCTGGTTAATGATAGTTCCCACTTACCTTTACTTTTTTAAATTTTATTTCTAGTTGTCTCCTCTCCTTCTGTAGCTGTACCTCATGCAACAGTTCAGCCAACTCCAGCCACAGCTACTGTTGCCCCAAATACAATGGCAGTAACAGTTTCTCCTGTTATATCTGAAGTAGCATCTGCTGTTGGTTAGTAATATTACTGTTTAGCATATTAACAATGTTTAAAGCTTAATGTTTAATCTCATATTGATAAATCTATTACGCTAAGTATTTTTGGTCTTTTCATCTGTACACATTTGTTTAAACAATTTAGAAGCCAGGACTTTTTTATTTTCAAATGTCTTTACAAGGTGGTTTTTTGAACAAAGAAAAATCATTGAATTTTATTAATCTGGAATCTCTATATTTCAGACATTTTAACATGTTTGTTTTTAACCAATAAGTGTAAAATCGTAGTTATAGCTTAAGGAACTACTATTGAACAAAGATTATTGTGGCACATTTAGTATGTTTCCATTTTAGCCCTAGAATCATAAATATGTATGGGAGATACAGTATTCAAAAGCATTCACGTAACGATGTAGGAAGGTACTTAGAACTAAATGTTTTTAGCTTTCTTTTTAAAAGTTACATGTACTGGCATATTTTGTATGGTGTGTAATCTGGAATCTCTATATTTCAGACATTTCTACACGTTTGTTTTTAACCAATAAGTGTAAAATCGTAGTTATAGCTTAAAGAACTACTATTGAACAAAGATTATTGTGGCACATTTAGTATGTTTCCATTTTAGCCCTAGAATCATAAATATGTATGGGAGATACAGTATTCATAAGCATTCACCTAACGATGTAGGAAGGTACTTAGAACTAAATGTTTTTCGCTTTCTTTTTAAAAGTTACATGTACTGGCATATTTTGTATGGTGTGTAAGATTAATAACTATGGTTAACAATGAAGTCAGTTACCTTATAAATGCCAGACCTGTCAACTCTCTGGCTTTAGGCCTAAGACAAGGCTCAGGCTTTTGTATCCAATTTCAGGAGCTCAGATCACTAAAGTATTTTTTTTTTGAGGCTTTTTTTTTAATAAGCATGGGAATTGGCAAACCCATGCATACAGCCCTAAACTCTTTTGTCCAGATTAGCGATTTTTTTTAAATTCCTTTTTTGCACATTCTTGTAAAATTTTAAGCTGATAAATTTAAAATTTAAAAAAGTATAAAACTGTTCTTAAGAAAGCCTATATGGTGATGATATTTTAATTCCCTAATTTGAGAAATAGTTTCATTATTTTAAAAAACCTAAGGCTTGGGTGATTTTTTTTTTTGACGTTTTAGAAGAGGATAGTATAGCTTGTTTCTTGATATTTTAGAAACATAAGTAATACTCACAGGGAAGTGGACAAGTTAAGCTAGTGGCATTACCCCTTTTTCACAGCAATGTGACCTGTGAGAGTATATTAAACTGCATAAATAAAATCCAGGCTTATTTCTGTTCTTTGTCAAAACAAACTTTGAGAAATTCTTCAACTGGAATGGCAAACAAAGAGTTTCAAAAAAGCTTATATATGTTTTTGCATAATGTTAACTCAATCACTCAGTCTGTTTTAAAACAACAATTTATTCTTTTGTAATTTTTCGGGGTTAAAGACTATCTAATTAAAAAAATAATAATAATATTTTTTATTGATTTGCTTGTTATGCAATGCTGTGGTCACCAAAAGTCTCGAGCTTATTAAATTTCTGAGGTTGATAGGTATGAAATTTATTTCTGAAACCTCTTGTCTTAAGTAGTTTTATTTAATTTTTTAGTTCAAGATGAAACGGACATACCACCTATGACATCTGTGCATCCTTCAAATGTTGCTGTCTCTACTCCTGCTACAGCTTTAGTTCCTCCTCGAATAGAAATAACTGGTAAACACCTTAAACATTTTTTTTTTGAACCAATAGCTTCAATTTTATTCTACAAAGTATGTTAATTAAACTGTCCATATGAGTGTAACTTTTTATTGAAAACCTAGTAGGGGAAAAAAATTGAAATCCCTTGCTAATGTCATCATTAATTAGCTCTTTTTCTTACTTTAAAATTTTTTCCTTATGTTATTAGAGACAATGCCAGACTCTGCTGTTGTAGATTCTCCCGCTCCTACCACATCAGTTATAGTTTCACCTCCTGCTACCCAAACACAAGTCGTTACACCTACAGTGAAACGCCCTCGTGAAGAAAGTTTAGGGTAAGTCATAGATAAATATTTTTCAAAAAAATTACCTTATGCCCCAAAACTGATACAATGAGTGCTCGTTTGTAAACTCTCTAGTTAGTTATGTTGACTACTTATTGTCTTTAAATTTCCTAGCATAGAATCATTTGTATGTCATAATGTTAAAATCTCTTCATGTCTTCAATTGTTTCACAATCGCTAGATATCTGAACTAATACAAATTGCTCATTCATTGAAATTTATTGGAAGCTGAAATATAACTATTGAGTCGTAGATTGAGTCCATTCGTAGGCTTCTTAAAACACAGACCTGGAATTCTTCTGATTTTGTTTTATTCAGAAATTTATTAATTTCTATTGAGCTTTAATAACTTTTTTTTAAATGTTGATTCATTTCAATAAGTTAAAGTAGTTTAGGTCAATAATCATTCATTCATTGAATATAACATGAATTAGAATGCAGCAATATTGCAGTTTTAACAGTCTCTCATAGTCTTAAATTGCCATTCTTTTGCACTTTTCAATTTGCCAATGTCCAATTATAGAAACTCTTCTGTTTTGTTCGTATTTTTGGGCCATGGCTCACCCTTACTTGAAATACATTAACCCTGATGCTATAGCAACCGCACTCCACCAGACACTATTTGACTCATAAGTAGGGCCCTATAAATTATGCGGAAATTTTTTAAAAATTATGCGGCTAGGATGCGGCGATTTTTAAAAATTATGCTGCAAGGATGCGGTGTCTTTTAAAATTAGGCATGCAGGTTGCGAATGATCCAGAAAACAATTGAAACTGAAAAAAAAATCTCTTAAAAAAGTTCAACTTTCTTTCCTGTTTTAATAAAAAAAAAATTTCAATGAATACAGTAAAGATTTCAACTAAATTACCTTCTTATGTATTGTACATCCATTTTCTACATCAGAACAATTATTAAAGTTTATTAAAATGGAGAGAAGTTAGTCCAGAAGCTGCGTTTTCTTTCAAACTCTGTCTTTGTTTTGTAAAAATTTGGCCGTAGCAGGATACAGCTCTTTCACAATCTACTGAATTAGGAAGCACTGAGAGCACTTGTCTTGCTTTTTTTGTAAGTTCTGGAAATCTCTCTGAGACTACCTCTGAATTCCAGAATCTAATTAAGTCCTGGTTTGAACATTCTTTTACATATTCTTTGTAAGCAGCATACTCGAGTTTTATATCTTGACCACTCATTCCTGGAATATTCTTGAATACATCGTCGTCTTCAATATTGAGGTTGACTATTTGTTCTGGATCGAAAACTCGAGCAGCTTTCATGAAGTTTAATGCAGGTTGACTAAACTTGGGCTCGCGTTTTTTGAATACGTCTAGTTCTGGAGAGTAGTAAGTATTCAACTTTGCAATTGTTTTGTGAAACACTTCTTGAAGAAATACGTTGCGTGAATCTTTTCGTGAGTATGATGCCTGAGAATTACATCGAAGTTTAGACAGCAGATCAAAAATCTTATTGTAAGCTTTGTGAATAGATACACCACATGTTTCGAAAAAGAGAAAAGTATTCATTAATATCTGAGCGTGTTCTGCGATGAACTGAAAGTCTTTGCAAACGTACTTGCTTTCCACCAAAACTTTGCACTGATTGAGACAAGCAGTGTCAGAAGTAAGGTTTATTTCACTGCTAAAAAATTATATGTAAACATTACAATATTCAGCATGATATTGCACTGATTTAAATCAGGAATTCCACCGTGTCTTTATTGGTACTGGACAAAGTTTAGCTATCTTATTGTCATCTGTTAAAAACTTTAAATAGCGGCGCTTTCTTCCAGGACAATGCTTGAACAATTTCTTAAAGTTTCCTGTGAATTTGTCCACCTCTGTCAGATTCTTGGAAAGATCTGACCACCTGACCAAAAAGATTCTTGGAAATGAAAAAGAAGATATATTTCAATTTAAAAAAAACCCTTAAGGAGAAATTTATCTGGTAAACGAATACATTTTGCTGAAAAATAAAAATTATACAGATATGCTGCGATTACGCGGAAAATTGTAAATTATGCGGATAATTGTGAATTATGCGGGTTTCCGCATCTTCGCATAATTTATAGGGCCCTACTCATAAGGAACATAAATATTTCAATTTATAAGGTGAATCTCGATAAGAAGCATTTATTCAAAAACACTACTCTATTTTAACAAATATTTAAATATATGCAATTGTTTATTGAAAAACTATAAAATAATGTTGTAATAAGTTATTAGCTATGTGAATACAAAAATATTTTATGTTGTAAAATTTTTGTTTTAATAAAAAATGACATGTTTTTTATTTATTTTTTATTCATTTATTTTTGTGTGCATTATTTCTACATAATACCACGGTGATAGATAAAACTATTAAACTTCAATAATATCTCAAAGGTCACATTTATAAGTATATCAACTTATATAGCCTTCTTTATCATTGCCTAATTTAAATATAGCTGCTCAATGTAAAAATATTCCCTACCTTTGTTGTAGATCAATGGTAATGGGTACTGATAGGCCTAAAAAATGACCGGTGGACTCTAATAACTTAGTAGCTACTTTTCCACAAACCTAATGAGCCAGTGACCTATACCGACAAGTCCTATTCATTAAATAAGCAAATTTTTGCTTTTTTTTGTGCCTAGATTAAATTATTTATATATTTTTTTAAATAATCATATTACAAATAATTTACGTCTATCAAAAGTTAATTCAACAATTAAAATAATACAGACATGTGACAAAATTTAATTAAACACTTGACTTCACCTGACAGGAATAGGAAATTTAATGCGCAATTAGAAAATTTCTATAAGAAAACAAAAAAGATTATTTGTTGTTTATGTAATATAAGTTACCACTTTTTTGTTGGCTTGCTACTTGGCAAGTGGTTATTTTCAGGCCTAGGTACTGAGAATATGCAAATAATTTGCATTTAATTGTTCCCTTACTAACACTGCTCTCTATCTACTTGTTATTCATTTAGAAGTTTATTATTTTTTTTTTGTTTATAAATAGAGACGCTGATGCTTCAGAGGCCAGTTTGAAGAGAATTCGAATGGTTTCTGAAGGGAGCCAAACAAATCAGCAACACCCAACATCTGTAGTAGCCCCCACTCCCAATGTAGCTATTGTTCCAGCTGCTCAGGTGATCAGATCTCAAAGTCCAGCAGTTTGTGAGCCAACTCCTTCAACTAGTGCACAACCGGAAGGTAAACATGTTGCTGCTGAAGATATTCATTCCCCATTGAATCCCAATTCAGCATCAGAGGAAGGTTTGTATATGTTCCTAGATTTAAGATATGTGAAAATACACATCTTTTATTTTACTTTGTCCAATAATGTTATTTTTATTTTTAGTGCATGATTTATATCAAGTTTTAAAAAAAAATTTGGACAGATTTCTGTTTTAAGGGATAAGAAAATGCCAATTTTATTTAAAAAATTTAAAAAGTAAAAAGAAATTCCTAAATCTGAAAAAAATACCGCTAAAGATTTATTTTGCATTAAACGAACTACTATTTATTATATACTTTTAAACTGATTCATAAATAAAGCAAGATTATTTGTTAGCATTTTATTTCTGAAACAATCATAAATCATTGGTATATTAATTTCTATTTTCGACCAATTTCAGTAGAAAAATGGTTTTTTTTATGTGTCAAGTATTAAAATTTGTATACAATTTTTTTATATATGAATGTCGGTTTTGAAAATTTGGGCAATTTTCACTCTTAATTTATGTTAAATGTATTTCTGACTATAAGGTGTACAATATGTAAACATGTATATTTTTGTGTAATGTTTCAAATTTGCTAACATTTTAAAGGAAACTTCATTAAATCTTTTTGTTTAAATAAATTAAATATAAAGATATGGTACTTACTTTATTTTTAATTCTAATCTTTCTTTTTTTTCCTAAATTTATATTTTTTCTAGAATTGCTTGCACCTGACGCAGAAATATTAGAAGATGATAAAGAAGAACAGATAATCGAGGTAATTATTATTTTTATGAATCACTAAATATCAGTATTTCTATATTGTGTCTTGTCAGAGAGACATTCAATAAATCATAATGCTTAGTATACTTCAATTTTTTAGTTCATCGGTTCTGATGATTAATGTAGTAAGCATAGCTTCCAACTCTTCTGCATTTATGCTCTGTTTTCTGCACTGAACATAGTTTGAAAGCATGCATCAAAATTTTGCACCTTAGAACTATAAAGACAGGCTCTCCTGCCCTGCTCAGGCGATTATGTCTTGAATTTTCCCTGCACTTTAGTCTGATCAGTGTTGTAGGTCATTATTAATGCAAAAATGTGAGATATTAAGCTTCTGGTTATAAGAAAAAAAGACTATAGTTTTCTATTCCGGATTTGTTGGTGTTTACAGGGATGAGATTTATCCGCTTTTTAGCGGATTTCCGCCTTTTTCGCTTTTGTCTCTTGAATTTCAGACTTTTTATTAAAAACTCAGATTTTCTAAAAGTTTCAGTTTTTTTTTAATTAATATTCCGGGTTTTTTCTGAAAATTCAGCCATTGAAATAATATAATTATGTTTATTTCCTCCAATTTGATATATAGATATCATATATCGTAAGATGTATAGAAAATTCGAACTTCGTAGCTGCCAACCCTTTCGCATATCTACTTGATTTAGTTATTAGCTTCTAGAAGCAGAAAGTAAGATTTTCCTCATTTTTACCCGCCCGCTAGATAGCTCGTATTTTCGTAATTCAGACGTCGCTGCATTTTAATATCAAACTTCGATTTTCGTATTTACCTGATTTAAAAGTTGCGCGTTGCGATTCCTATTCTCGCGATTTCAATATCGTTCATTGCAATTCTTCTTTACGAGATTTAAAAATCCAATATCGCGATTTGTATACAGGCGTTTTTAAAATTCTATGTAACGATTTCGTATTCATGCGAGTTTATCCAATGTCGTGATTCGTTTTTGCAGTTGTAATATCCAACTTCTATTTTCGTATTTACACTTGATTTAAAAATTAGGCTTTGGATACGTATTAACGCCATTTAGAAATTATGTATCGTAATTCGTATTTACGCGATCTGAAAGTTATGCATCATGATTTGTATTTTCACATTTTTGAAATTTAATATCCAGTTTCATTCACTTATTTCAATAATGTGATTTATATTCACACGATTTTAAAATCCGTTATTGCGCGACTCTTGTAAAAAGCAAGTTTTTTTTTTAATTAGTTACAGTGTGAATTGTTACAGTGTTTTGAATTAGTTAATGTGGCAGTTTTTCTATCGGCAATTATTGCTATATATAGGCATTACAACATCAGCAAAACTGGATGAGAATACGTTACTGATATTTTTGCTATAAATCACGTAAGATGTACTCGTGTGAAAATTCAGCTTTTTTGCCTTTTGACCAATCTCATCCCTGTGTTTATTATGTTACAATATTAAATTTCACTTGTGAACACTATGTTCCAATAACTTTGTTGATTTTTTGAAAGAAAAAAAAATTGAAGACGTGAAGTCTTTTGCCTTTTAAAAAATGGGTGTTGGCAAGTAGGATTAAGTTAGTTGATTTTTATACTTTAGTGGGAGACTCAAGAGGAACAAGAAACTAAGATTGATGATGATTTTGAGGCTGAAGTTATGGAAGAAGAAACTATTGGTGGAGAAGGTGATGAGGATATGCAAGAAGGCATTGATGTTGTAAGTAAAAGAAATTAATTTACCTGATTCTTTATGTTCTTCTGTTTCTGCTCTTATATTTAATTAAATATAAAGACATTATATAAAGTCTTCACACTTAAGTACATACCCCCCAACCCCATTAGAGTATTTCTTCCATTATAATGACAGTGAATGACTGCAAGACTATGGATCCTTTTAAGTATGAGCAACTCAGCTAAAAGAAACTAAGCTATTTAAAATTGTAATTTTCTTTTTATCCATCGGTTAATGTGCTCATTCATAATTACTCTATATATGGATCGGCAAAGTATCAACAAAAATATTAGAAGAGAAAAAAGTTACATTTGAACAATGTAGGTTTTTAATTACATACCTGCCAACTCTTCTGGATTTTCCGGAAGATTTTATTTTCATATTTAAAGTGGTAGCAATACATGGGTTATTCCAATTAACTTTTTGAAATATAATGATAATTATAAATGAGTTTGACCACCACTACATATAAATAATTACAATAAATATATAAAAGCAGAATGATCCTTGCGCAAACGAATTTCAATGGGATCAAAATATAAATGTATTTTTGAGTCAGATTGTTTTTCGTTAATTGCATTGCAACCAGTCTGAAAATCCATTCTCGGAAAGAGTAAAAGTTGGCAGGTATGTAATTATTACTATTCAAACACCTGTATCAAGGAAAAGCAACAATTTAATATACTCAAAAATGGTCTCCCAATGAAGAAAATATATTAATATATTTAAAATTTAGCTATAATTTTACCTGAAGTCCCTTGTTCAAAGAACTTGCTATATAGCCTAAGTAGAATCACTGCTCCTGATTCATGAAATTCTGTTTGCTATTTTATAGATTTATTGTTATTGTTATATTCATTTGAATGCCCTCATTGAACTTCATTCCAATATGAGGACCAAAATTTAGTCTTGATGTAGAAACTGTTTCAAAGAAATTATTTAAACCAATATTTCCTTTGATGCTACCACACAATAAATGTTAACCATCTTTTATCCCCTTTGAATGAAGGAAGAGAGATATGACATTCATAGTTTATGGTCATTATGGCCTAAATTCATAGTTTATGGTCATTAATAATTTTTATAACTTGTTGGAAAATTATATTTACTCTTTTAATGAAATTTCAGCCTCCTTGTGTGTTTCATTTATTTATTATTTTATTCTTTTATGTGATTTTGATTGCATTCATCAACCAGCATTAAATTTTTAACGAACACTCTTGTTTATATATTAATATAGTAAAAAAGGTACATTAATACCTATTATTCTATTTGTCAAATTCTTATTAATGCGAAGCGTTGTTTTGTTAAATTAAAATGTAATTACATTTGTTATCTGTGGTAGCATGCGTTTTTGCCCAGGCCACAGGGGTCGTTATATCGAGCATACACTGTATTAAGCATGTATTTGAATTCAGAAAAGGCTAGATTTTCTTTGTTATTTGACTGATTCTAGAAGCCATTGAGCAATTAAATTGCTCATTGAACTAAAACTGTTACATAATATAAATGTAATAAAAAGTGACTGAATTATAAAAAAAAAATTTTTAAACTTATTTCTTGGAAATAATAATGGTATTATTAAAGTAAAATGGTGTAATTTCTTCTTTCTAAGAATGTAATATACAGTAGTACGATATTTTTTAAAAAAAAATTTCAATAAAAATAATAATCGTGCACCGTCAACAAATGTAATATTTTAATGATTCTCCAAGATTAGGCATTTTTTTATTATGTTGAAAAATAGAAACTATTTTAATTAACTTTTAGGCAAGTATTGGTTTCAATGCAAATATTGAAAAATTATTTTTAAAGCACTCTATGTAAATTGTTTTTTTTTTCTGCTTAACTTATTTATCATATTATGTTCATGAAAATAACTAAAAAATGTTGATTCTGTTTTGCAGCGGTCTCCTGATGATGAAGACATGACAGAAGAGCAGCCTGATGATGCTGAAGATATGGGTGATCAACCAACATCTTCTGATTTAGGTATTTAAACATTTTACCTGAACTCTGTCATTATGTTACGTCATTAAATTTATTTCATTATCACACTAAAATGCAATACTTATGGGTCAGAGAGATAAGAAAAAATGTGGTATTGTCGCATTTATATATACAGTAGAGAACCATTTATCCGGTATCCAGATAACCGGGAAACCAGAAAACCGGGGAAATTTTTTATTGGTTTTCCCGTCATTTTAAACTAGAACGATTATGAAAAAAAGCAGAAATTGTACTCATCCTTGAAGTTGAGTAGAGAAAAATGTAAGGAAGGGGAGAATTTTTTCCCCCGTTTACCCAGAGAAACGTCATTTCCTCCATGACCTTGAAAGCAGGGAAGGGAGGCATGTTTTATTTTCTCGTTTAGGCCGTCAATCAAGCTCAAGGGTGTGGCATGCTGATTTCGTTTTCTGTTTGATTTACGAGGGGGTGGGGAAAATGCATTGCATGCCTATCAGTGAACAGAAGATGAAAGCGTAGGATTATTTTATGAAGCAGATTGCAGTTTTGTTTTTCTGATTCCACTACGTTTGATATTTTTTTCTTTTCACTATAAATTTCGCTCTCAATAAATTAATTCTTTTTATTCATAAATTTTATCATTTGGTTTTTTTTTTAAAAATTCCGTTGATCTTGCCTTGTTCCGGGTTTTAATATTTATGCTAGTGCCCATTTTAACTATCGCTTCGGTTCGATAATTTTCAAGTGTTTTTATTTAGATTAATTAGTTTTCCTTTTATTTTATTGTTTCCCCCGTATAATTAGGTATGAAATATATTGCGTTATTTAACCATTGGTTTTGTTTATATTAGTTAATTTAGGAATTGTAATTATTTTTTAAAAATAAATACAGGAATTTTGTATTTTTTAAACTTGTTTTTCTTCTCTAAACTTGCAAATTTTTTTATTCTTTTAAATGTTATTTTTCTACCATTTCTTTTTTCTTTTTAAAGTTAGGAGTACCTTTCTTTTTTCTTTTACTTTATCCATTACACTTTTTCCTTGTAATTCGGATTCGATAAAACATCGATTAACGACACTTTTTGGTTGATCCAGAAAACCGGGAAATTCAGACATCCGGGATAGCGATAGTCCCGAGCATCCCGGATAATTGGTTCTCTACTGTATATATATATATATTTATTTAATTTTTTTTTTCTTGACTAAAACCTATAAAAATGTCCAATCCTAGAATTAGTTACATTTCAATAGCTGTTTACAGCCGTTGTGATTTAAGTTAAATAATTTTAACATCTATTACAATCATTTTATAAGAAAAAAATCTTCATTGGCATGTAAATTTCATTTAGTGATAATTTTGTTTATCACTCTGGCATCAATTTTGGATGAAAAAAATATATAAAAAATTGCTAAATATTAAAATTTAGTTTAGAAGATTGTTCAAATTTTCCTTGACAACCTGGGTTAATATAAATTTGTACTATGTTGTATTTATAAGTAATGTAAAAAATTCAATTTTGATTGGTTTTAAATATCTTATTTACAGTTTTTATTGCTAGAGTTTAACCTTATTTTCTGTATTATTTTTTGAGATTCATATACTCTGCAGCGAATCAAGATAAGTTTACTCAAGCAATTTTGCTTAAGTTTATCCAAGATAAAATTATATATTGTCAAAACATTACAAAGTATATTTTTAAAATTAAATTTTATAATTTATGTAAAAAAAAAAAAGAAGTAATTTTCAGTGGAAAAGAACTACTGGGTTTATTCGAATCTAAACCACTTTTCCAATGTTGATGTTACCTAATATGAGTGCCGTTTAGAATCTATCATCGTTGGATGAGTGAAATTCAGATTTCTCTCATCCGATGTATACTTTCTATTACATTGCTCCATTTTGAGAATAGGATACTGAAAGTTAGAGCAACTACAGGTTCAAATGCGTATTTTAAAGATTTTAAAATAAATAAATTGTTCAGGCTGAATTATTTATAATTTTTAATTTCCTAAATATCGAGTATCGATTAATCCTTTTACTCTACCTATTTTTCACATAAACTTGTTGAGAATTTCAGATACACCTTGAATTCAACTAAATATGGTAATTGCTAATGAAAGCAGATTAAAAAATAAGTATTATTAATTTAATAAATAGTTTTTAAAAACCAACTTAGTCAAATTGTGCATAATTTGCATTGTTTTTATTGTTAGCAAGTGGCATTTTTTACGAAGCTTCTTTAAAAATCTCCCATTATTTGTTACTTTTGATATGTAATATTTGTTTTCACTACTCCATATCTCTAATACAAATTTCTTCTTTTATTTATTTTGCTCTGTTTTCTTAATTTAAATGAATGATTTTTCCTTAAGAAAAAAAATTATTATTGCAATTGTTATATCATAGCTGCCATCTCTACTGGATTTTCTAGTAGACTACTGGATTAGGCCAGTTTTTCTTGGTATACTGGTTTCATTAAAATTCTCCTATATTTTAGAAAATTCCCTAAAATTAAGTAAGTTTCCCAAAAAAATCCCTATTGAAGTGAATTTTTGCTCAGATTATTGCTTGCTTGAATATACATAACTAATACATAATGAAGTGAACTTTATTTATAGAAAGCAGTTCAAAACTTTTCTTGTTCTAAAATGACCAGTTTATTTTTATTCAGAACTCTCTTTTTAAATTAAAGAAATCTTTTAAACGTCTTTGAATTAAATACCTCTTAATATTCGAAATTATGTGTAAACATAATAATGTTTAATGTTAATTATAACTGGAAAATATGGCAGTTTTTCTATTTTGATGACTATAAATATTCCTAAAATTCCTTATGTTCATCACAACAATGTTTAGAACAACTATGTCCGTGCAGCAATTATCATGAAATTTATATTTCTAAAATTTACTGAATTTTTTTCCTATCTAAGTTGGCAGCTATGCTATTTAAATTGCTGTTTAACCATTTGTTTATGTTCTTGACTCCCTTTGGAAAAGTGTGAGTTTTTAATCTTTTTATGTTTAATATTGTTACATATAAAATAATGGGACTTCATCATTTTAAAACACTTTCATAGTCAGTCAGTAGCATTTTTTAATAAAAACTATCTCTGAACATAAATTTAAAAAAAAAAAATTCTCCATTAATATAATCTTTATTACTAATACATTTAAAAATTTATGTAGATTTGTTGGATAACACTTCAAACATGCAAATGGATGCAGATAGTAGCAGTTTGCAAAGTGCTCCTCCAGAGCAGTGTATGGCTCCTCCTGCTTTTCCACCATCGGTTGAACCATCCCCTAGTACTGCACCTGCTGCAGAATCCATTGTAGTTCCCATAGCTGCTCCAGTTCAAAGAACCCCTGTCACTTTAGTTCCTCCTAGAATTGAAAGACAAGCGCCTGGTAATCGGCAACACCTCACACCCTTTACCATTCCTGTAAGTAATTTGATTAGAAGTATAAGTAATTAGAGTTGTATATAAGCATTAAAGAAACTATTGAACATTTTTATTTTTTTATAGCGGCTGGTATCACAATATTGCAAAATTAGTTAATTTTTTAATTTAAAAAGAAATAATAAGTTCTTTGTCTCAAGAAGTGAAAGTTACATACAGAAATTTGCAAATGTAGGAAGTTCTACTCAAACATGTTCTAAAGTTTATTGAAAGTTTTGAAATGGTTGTCATAGTCAAAAATAACTGTAATGATACTAAAAAAAAAAAAATTGAATGTTTAAATATAGGTAATGCATTTCTTTAAAATCATTATTTAAATTTATAACAATAAATAAATGAGTGTGGATATTTAAATTCACAGCTTGAAGGAAGAAGAAAGAAAATAAAATGGAATTAATTTCTTTTTTCTATATATACCCTTGCAATTGTAATACAGTACAGAACCCGTCATCCGGAAATCGGAAAACCAAAAAACGGGAACGAAATTCTATACATTTTCTCGGCATTTTTAAAAAAAATAAATTTTTTTTTCCTCATAAGATTTTACGATTTTTCTTCCTTTTTTTTAAAGATGTCAAGATCATTTTGGAAATAATCATTAGCGTATTACTTCATCATTTTTTCTTATTTTTAAGATTATTTCCAAATATTTTTTTTTAGTTGGGTTTAACAATAAAAAAACGGCTTTTTGTAGCGATTAAAAAAACTGGAAAAATCAGTTATCCGGAATAGCGATTGTCCCGACCGTTCTGGATAATCGGTTCCCTACTGTACATTTTTCAGATACAGCAATTTTTATGTGTGTATAATCATCTTTAAATAATATTTTAAAATAAACATGGAAAAAAACAATTATTTATAATATAACATCATTTTTCAAATATTTTATCGTTAGTCATTGCAGTTCAAGTCATAATGCTAGAATGCTAAATATCACAAAACAAGCACAAGCAAAACATATAAATGCATTCAATAACAATTTAAAAATTAACTCCTAATGACAATATGAAAAAAAAGTCATATTAATTTCATAATTAATAAAATATAATTTTAATATTAATAAAAATTAATATTATAAAAGAAATTAATATATATAATATTTAATAATTAAAGGATTTATATATATTAAAAAAATAATAAAATTAATATTACCATTCTTATTCACTTAAAATAGCAAACAAACAAAAGAAGTTAAAATATTAAATTTAAATATTAAGCTTCAGAATTTCAGATTGCTTATGCCGTTGAAATCTTAATTGCTTTGGCTTTTTGCTAAGTTGAACTGTTGATGACTTCAGCCCGCACTGGTGAGTTAAAAGACTTGAGAAGAAGAGAGGGGGGAAATAAAAGTAGGAAGGTGTTAATCTGTGGAACTTTTCTTGAATGTTTATTTTTGTACTACAGTTAACTATAACGTCTAGATAGTTTCAAAGGGAATTTGAAAATTGATAACAAAGATATCATTTTTTTATTTATGTCTGCTTTGATGGGTTTTGAATTTTAGACAAATTTTGAAAAAAAGAACGTACTTATAACTTGTGCACCAATAAGTTTATATTAAAAAATATGTGGCATACCTAGTTTATGAAAATCTTTTCATGATTGTTTACCAGAGATTCTTTACAAATATTATTTCCTTCTCACCAGGGACAAGGATCCAACTTTGAAGAAGGTGATGATAGCATAGTTCCATCTACACCAACTTTGTATGTTCCAAGACGTGCTGATGGTTTTGCTGAAGCAGTTAGGTAATTAAAATTATTGCTTTTGAAATTTATTTTATATTTATCTATAATTTAGTCGATTATAAATGAAGATAGTGTTATATTTCTAGTCAGGTTGTCAATTTGTAACTGTGAGACAAAATTTTGTAGCATTAAAACACTTTTTTTTTTGCTATAGGTTTCATTTTTTTGTCTTTAGTATTTCTACTATACAAAAATCTATACAGTCGAGTATTGTGACCAAACCCGACTTGAAGGAAAACCATGGTGCATAGCGTTTTTAAAAAGTGCTTTACAGTGCTTATTTTCAATTTTTGTTTTTTAAGAGTTCTTAAAGATGCTTTTTTTTTATTGGGAGTTTTTACAAAGTGCTTAATTTTCATTTTTCAAAAATTAGATCTTTTTCTTTACAATGTTGATTTTCACCTTGTATTATGCAAAAGCATGATTTTCACATTGTTCTATTAAATGTCTTCACAATTCATTCAAACACTATGCATTTAGGTGTACTGTCGGTAGGTAGCATATGAAAGTGCGAATCATTGTACATGTTTGATGAAATACTTGTCTACTGAGCGTCTACTGAGCTGGGTTTTGTGAGATTCTTGCACTCTCATGAGCAACTCTGCTGCATTTTGCAAGATATTCTCAATTTCAGGCTTCATTTTCCACCTTCTGAAATCGAACTGAAAAATCTCTCGATCTTTTTATAGTGGCTGATATAATCAAGAAGAGTTCTTTGTCAAAAACTAGTTATTTTGTCATGATCATGTAAAGTCTTAGAAAATTATTTTGCATTTTGTGAATGTATGCAGTGCTTTAAAATATTTTTTAGTGCTTAAAAAGTGCTTATTTTTTGTTGAGAGATTTGGCTACACACCCTGAAAAATCTGGAAAATTAGACAACTTTAAAAAAAAGCGTCTATGAGACTGTTTTTAAGTAACTTCATGTCACATTTTTCCCAGCTTATGATTGGTAATTGTAGTAGTGCCTATTAAAGCTTATTGCAAATACCATGTTTAAATTTTAAAAATTTTATTGTAAACTTATATTATTAGAATTTATTTGCCACTCACATTAAAACTTTGCTGGGCCAACGCAATGTCCTATTTAAGGTCACAAGGAACTAGGGAAACAACTTTTCGACCGCTTTCAGGTGATTTTTAAATTTAAAAGCATTTTCATGATGAAAACAATATTTTTTGGAGAAGGTGTGAAGAACACATGGTCTTTGAACGATGAAGATAATTGGACAAATCGGTAATTAGGCGTTCAAATAATTTGCGCTCTACTGTATATAAGTAATATCCAAAAATTACTCTAAAAAAAACCTGAGATTTAAAACATAGTATATAAGTGATTAATTTTCTTACTGATTTTTTAAAAATCAATTTATAGCTTGCCATTGTTTGTATTAATGGCTTTTCTTCATAACCCAGTAAGCACTTGAAATGAGAGATAAAAGTTTTTAGCTATCTGCATCCATTTATTTATTTTTTTTAATTCTAAATTTTTCTAAAATGTATTAATATTATATTTATTTTTAAAAATGATAAAGCTTGTCACTTTAAATTGTTTTTTAAAGTTTGTAAAAATTTGTTTCCCTTTCTGCTACCTCCCTTTTCTTATTTGTGTATTAGTTTTTTTTCCACTTTTCTGTGGGTGATTATTAAATGTTGAAAACTGTATGATTGCTGTCATTAAATCTCTCTTAATTATAGTTTTTATTATTAAGAAAATAACGAGAATGTTACCTTTAAATTGCAGCTCTCCTCATGTTCCTCAAGTTAGGTTTTCGTTCAGTAGTTCTGAAAGCTCTCCTACTCAACAAGGTCTATCTCAACTTGCTAGTCAAGACGGTAATATTTTTTCCTCAATTATTTAGAACTGTATTATGAGCATGGTACTATTAACTTCATTGTTTTTATATATATATATATAAATTTGAGCTTTTTATTCTTACCAAAAAATTAAAAAAAAAAGTATTATGAATTTTTTTCAATGGTTGATTAATGTAGAGATGAAACATTATTCTTATTTTGGAGACTGAACTTATATTGGTTCTTATTTTAGAACCTCCATGTCTCAACACCTATAATGATGCTTGGGCACCATCATATATTTTTATTTTGTATATTTTTAGGGTTAATAGCTGCTCTATAATGTATACACTGAAACTGTAAATTATAATGACTTGTTAATTTTCTTCATTTGACTTATTTACCAATTACGTGCCATTTGCATCGATGCAAACTTTTTAGTTTTCTCCTTAATTTCAGAGCAACCACTTTTTTTTTAATCAAAGACAAATGTATAAATTGAATGAAATTTTTTTAAAATAATGAAAAAAATTTTACAAAAAAGTGTAATTCATATTGGAATAAAATTGTAATTTCATCACAGCATTTTAATTTTTTTACCCAACTCTTTAATATCCTAAAAAAGGTATTCAAGTATGAAATTAAAAATACATTTCAAATATACATTCAAAATACAGGATACCCACGGGTCAGGGAGAACAGGGAAAACCTAGAATTGTCAGGGAATTTTATTTTGACTCTAAAAATCAGGGAAAGTAGCAATTTTTTTAAAAAAAACCCTGAAATATTCCTATATCATACCTGGAAAATAACCAGTCTTAAAATTATCAGTAACAGTAATCAGTTATTGAGATTCGAATCAAATAATTCTAAGATCTGTTATAAATATGTCCATTATTTGTTATAAAAATTTCACATTTTAGTCAAACTGAAATGTTCCCTTCCTCATTCAATATCTTTTTACACAAAATATCTAATATTTTGCATTACAAGCAAACAAAAAAAAGTTTTCTGATGAAAATATGGTCTAAATTTTCATTGAAATTTGCCTGGTATATCTGGAAAAGTTGGAGAATTTTTTTTCTTCTGAAATTAGTGGGAACCCTGTCTTTAGTAGTTGCTTAAAGATTGTAGGGGGAGTGGTTGCAATTTATGCCAGCAGTAGGGAATTAGCATAAATCTCTCTGCAATAATTTTAGTAAGTAAGATATATTTGCGTATTGTTATTTTCTTTAGTATTTTAAGTTTATGTTTAGCAATTAGCTTCATTGGATAAGCACTAATGGGTGGTCGATGCTTTCTCCCTGTTTACCTACACGCTTGCTTGCTGACTCGTTCAACTCATCTGCTTTACATACTGTATCCACGCAGTTGCTTTGCAGCTTGTACTAAGCACAGCTGTCGCCACATCATTTCTGTGTAAGCCAAAACCTTCATCGGGATTGAATGTTGTCCATGGAACTGTTAAAGCGTGGAGTAGACACAGGATACTAAAAGCGTTTATAATTTCTTTCTACTTACTGCACTTGTGGCTACTGTTCTGTTCTGGTCAGCTGTTGACTGTAGTAACTGACTACATTATGTGTATTTCGCTTCTAATGACTAGATTAATACCTACGTTGTTGAATAAAAGTTATTTGTTTTCTTCTGATGTACTGAGCCTTGCATATTTCTAATTGACAGACAATAATACAGAGAACTGAGTTTGTTGCAACTGCTATAATATTCTGTTCACAATAGATAACTGTTAATATATATTCCTATTCATTACTTTATTATATATACTATATTTTTTATATATACTCCTATTCAGACTTTATTAATATTTCTTATAACAACAAAATTTATTGACAAATTTGTATTTTATGGGCTTATTTAAAATTTTCTTATTTTTCATTCATGTTTATCTTATTTCAAGCTTTTTAATATAAATAGTTATTTCTACTATTTCATTTGAAATATTAATCACTTAACAGTGTTTTTCAAAGCTCTTTCGTCAAATGAAATTGTCATTGTTTAAATGCATAACATTGGAGGCAAAGCTATAATTTTAACTATATCATATATAATCTTACTGTAAAGAATTATCTGAGCTTTAGAACGGACAAATAGTTTAAATATTTTAAAAGTTATTATACTTTTAAAAAATTATAAATTTGTAAAGTTTTTTTTTCCCTAGATTAAAATTATTAGAATCAATAAATAAATTGAATAAATTTTGGCAAATTTTTATAAGCTGATTAGGCAAATTTTTATGATGATGTAACATTTGAGTAATTTTTTTTAAGTATGCAAAAATTAACCTAACAGTCATGATTTACTAACAAATTCATAATAATTATATAAATAGCATATTATTGGCTAGAAAATAAACTTGTATTTTAAAAACTAATACAAATTTATTCCTTTTTCCTAATATAATCAGGTTTAGGTGTTGATGATACTAGAATGGATTTATCTCAATTTGATGAGGGAGGAAGAACAGTTCCTTCAACACCCCTGCAAGTTTCACCTCCTGGTGAGTTGTAAATTTAAGGCAACATAGTAACTCCTTTAAGACAATTGATAGTTTTTGTCACTAAAATACAGTGGTGATTGTGCTCCGGAAAAATCCGGATTTTCTAACCGCGATACAGAAGTTTCAGGAAATCATCGATCTCATTTATGTATAAGAATTCTTGTATATTTTATTTACAAATATTGGAACTAGAATTTATGCTTGACATCTCTCTTCATTTGTAAATATTTCTTCTGGTAGAAATATTTACAAATGAAGAGAATTTTCTTGTTCATAATTATTCATTTAAATTATGCTGCATATAATTTATTTAGAATTTCATGTTTTGAAATATCAATGATTTAAATTTGTAAAGATATTAATTTTTTGAAATGCATCATTAATGATTTCACTCCAGAAATTTTTAGGATTTTTGAGTTGGGCTCACAATTACCCTTGAAAATATAACTCATTCAATATATAAATCTACACACACAAGTGCTTTTTTAAAGAAAAATCCTTGTACTGTACCATGAAGCCCATTATCTATTTGAGTTTGGCTTGAATTTTTTTTTTATCCACGGTTTCTTCTACTACCCTCTCTTTAACTTTTTTTTTAAAAATAAATTTCCCATATTTTTGTTGTGTATCTGTAGATATTGAAAAATAGTCACTGTGCCAAAAATTTTCTGTTATGCCCTTTTCAAAATGTATACCAAAAAAATAAATAAATAAGTAAATCATAATCATTTTAAAATCCGTAGGAATTATTAAGTTTGATATCAGGACTGACTATTTAGAATTTTTTTAATGCGACTTATTGGAAGATCATTCGCCGTTTGATTTTTGTAATATTTTGTGTCAATAACAATTAAGTTTCTATGGGCAGTTTTGCTATCTTAATGATACGTGTTTATTTTAATAGCTTTATTTTTATTTCGTAATATAATGTTAGATATTGATTTTCTTGCATTCTATAATTCCAAGATAGATACGGTCAACATTTTACAAATAGTTAATGCATTTCTAAATTAATTAAAGGAGAAAGATAAAAAATCTTGTGATAATTTATTTTTATATTGTAATTAAATTTGATAAATTTTCTACACCAAAATCGCTTTCTTAATTGTTTTTCAAGCATGTTCTTTTAAATGTATTAGTTCATATGCTTAATTTCCTTTACAATTTCATCTCTATTATCAAAATTAGCTGTTGGAGATTTATTTGTGTTTATGAATTTTCTTTTATTAAGAATAAAAATATGGCATGGATATAAAAAATAAACTTTTGGCTTCATTTTAAGGATCCTTTTAAAAAAAATAAATAGAAATTACAAACAGTACATTATGCCAATTATTTAGTACATATATTTTACAAGCAAAGAGAAAATGAGTAATTTAAGAAATAAACTTCATATGGAAATTATCGGGACTAAATTCTTTTCTTTGTTCATTTTTTATTTTGTGGTATGTACCATTAATAGTTAAGTCCATTTTAAGACACATATTATGTTAAATGTGTTGAATTCATTTAGTAAATTGATTTTTATTTGACTTTAGCAGAAGTAATTGTTCCTGATGTCACTGCAAGTCTAGAATCAGTTGCTGCATCTGTAAGTGTCCCTGAAATAATTGTTCCAACCATCAAGATTGAAACTGCTGAAGAACTATCAGCAGATGCTCAAAATGTTCAGAAATCGTAAGTTTTTCTTTTTTTCTTTCTGTCAGTGTTTGCATTATTTTTAATTTTTTAAAATGCTCTGAAGCAAATAGTCTTTATTAAAAGTACAAATCATAAATAATTACCAGGCTATGTTAGCTTTTTAAGTAAATAAATGAAACGCTGATGCATATTCCAGTAAATTTCAATTTGCCTTGTTAATTTTTTTTTCTTGCTTTGTTTTTGTAATGGATACAGTTACTAGCTCTCTAATTTTGAGCTTAGCCACATGACTTGTGTGCCTTCAAACACTACATCAACTTTATTTGTGTTTGAAACAATATGAAAAAAACATTTAAAAATTAATATATAATACTACAAATTTGATCATTTTTTCTCTCCTTTAGATAAAATTAAGTGATTTTTATAAAAACATAGGGTTGTTGATTTATGCATGAAACAAAAATGGTCCATTATCCACGAGTCAGTGAGATCAGGGAAAACCTGGAAGTGAAACCAGGAACGTTGCATTTTTTACAAAATTACTCGGAAAATTCTTATATCTGGAAAATAACTAGTCTTAGAGTTGTCAGTAACTGTCATCAATTATTGAGATAAGAGTTAAATAATTCTAACATCTATTACAGTTATTTGTTGTAAAAATTTCACTTTTCAGTTAAATTGACATGTTTCCATCCTCATTCAATGATATTTTTTCTCCACAAAATCTAATACTTGGCATTACAAATTAAAATATCAAAGTTTTTTGATGAAAAACGGCATGGTATCGATAAAATATGATCTGGATTTTCATTGAAATTTACCTGATGTACCTGGAAAAATCAGGCAATTTTTTTTTCTAAAATTGAGTGAGAACCCTGATTACGTACCATTTTTATGGGAGAAAAGTTGCTAAATTTGTCGTAAATTCTTGGATATCTTAACTTCCTAATGTGGAGCCTAGAAACTTTGGGAATGTAGAAAAGGCTTTTGTCCAGGAAAAACCTGGAATTGTTCAGGGACTTTTATTTTAACTCTTTGGTAAATTGACCGAAAGGCATGTAAACGTATTTAAACCGAAAGGCATGTAAACGTATTCGAATAGTCCGAATGGAGTGGTGACTGCTGTTTTGGGAATATCCGGAGGATTCACCGGAATTTGATGATACGCTCTCGTGAGATCGACAGTTGAAAAAATCTTCTTACCGTAAAATAGTGCAGTCCTGAATATGTGGAACTGGGTATCTGTCAGGAACTGTTATGGAATTAAGTTTTCGGTAATCTCCGCAGGGACGCCAATTACCATTCGACTTCCTAACTACGTGTAGTGGGCTAGCCCAAGGGCTTTTTGATGGTCTTATAATCCCTTGAGTTAAAAGAAAATCAAATTCTTCCCTGGTCGCTTTCATAATTTCGGGCGATAAACGCCTTGACTTTGAAAATACAGGCGGTCCTGTAGTTTCTAAAAAATGGTAAACGGTCGAAGGAGTAGGCGTAGGATTTGCATGAGATGGGTTTGTCAATTCCGGAAAGCGGGACAATACCCTATCAAATTTTGAGTCTCCTAAGTGAATAGTTAAACTACTTGGAAAATCAATATTAGCAATCTTTCCACGTGATGTTAGTTTAGTTAGATTATCGATTAATCGGCTATTTTTTACATCAACTAATAAATCGAAATGTCTCAGAAAATCGACACCAATAATTGGCTGTTTAACATCGGCAACAACAAAACGCCAAGTGAATGGCCTACGAAGGTTAAAATCTAAANGCAAATGCCATGTTTAAAATTTTATTATAAACTTATTTTATTAGAATTTATTTGCCACTCGCATTGAAACTGGGCGGGGCAAACGCAAGGTTACAAGGGACTAAGGAAACAATTTTTCGACCACTTTCAGATGATTTTTAAATTAAGAAGTATTTTTGTGATGAGAACAATATTTTTTGGAGAAGGTGTAAAAAAACTCATGGTCTTTGACCGATCCAGATAATTGGACAAATCGGTAAATAGGCATTCAAATAATTTTCGTTCTACTGTATATAAGTAATATCCATAAATTACTCTTAAAAGAAACCTGAGATTTAAAACAAATAATATATATGTGATTAATTTTCTCTGATTTTGAAAAATCAATTTCTTTTACTTATAGCTTGCCGTTGTTTGTATTAATGGCTTTTCTTCATTATCTAGTAAGCACTTGAAATGAGAGATAAAAGCGTACATCAATTTATTATTTTTTAGTTTTAAATTTTTCCAAAAAATATTAATATTATATTTATTTTTGAAAATAATAAAGCTTGTTACCTTTCATTGTTTTTTAGAAGATTGTAAAAATTTGTTTCCCTTTCTGCTACTTTTCTTGGGTGATTATTAAATGTTGAAAACTGTATGATTGCTGTCATTAAATTTCTCTTAATTGTGGTTTTTGTTATTAAGAAAATAATGAGAATGTAACCTTTAAATTGCAGCTCTCCTCATGTTCCTCAAGTTAGGTTTTCGTTCAGTAGTTCTGAAAGCTCTCCTACTCAACAAGGTCTATCTCAACTTGCTAGTCAAGACGGTAATATATATTTTTTTCTCAATTATTTAGAGCTGATTATGTGCACGGTACTATTTTTTTTTTATGTGTATAAATTTGAGATTTTTATTCTTACAAAAAGAAAAAAAATAGCATTATGAATTGTTTTCAATGGTTAATTAAAATAGAGGTGAAACATTATTCTAATTTCGGAGACTAAAACTTTTATTGGTTCTTATTTTAGTACCTTCATGGCTCAAAACCTATAATGATGCTTAGGCACTGTCATATATTTTTATTTTGTATATTTTCTAGGGTTAATAACTGCCCTATAAAGATATGGATATACTCACAATGTAACATTATAATGAGTGGTTAATTTTGTTCATTTAATCTGCACTGTTTTAATTAATAAATTTTGTGGGATTATAATTATTTGTTAATTGAGTGCCATTTACATTGATGCAAACTTTTTTTCTAACTTCTAGAGCAGGGGTTTCCAACTTACATGGGGCCAGGGGCCACGATTAAAAGCACCAGTCAAATGGCGGGCTGCAATTTCATCAAAATTTTATATAGGACTCTTTTATGTTTGAAGGAACATTAAATATTACTGTCAGATTTTTATCAAGTTGTACAAAACAAAAGTATTGAATTACTAATTAAAATAAGAAGTAGATTTTTAAAAATATTTAATTGCATATTAAGAAATTCTGGCTACAATGACTTTAATGTGCACTTATGTTTTAAACAATTAATGTGCAACAGATATCAAATTGTTAAGATATAAAACTTAAAAGTATTTAAGACCCATATAGAATTTTTACGAAAATTGTCCGCCAGTTGGTAACCACTGTTCTAGAGAGCCTCTGTGACTTCAGAGCAACCACTTATTTATAAATTTTTTTTATGAATAACAAATTTATAAATTTAATGAAAATTTTTTAAAATAATTGAGAAAAAATTTACAAAAAAGTGTAGTTTATATTAGAATAAAATTGTAATTTCATCATGCATTTTTATTTTTTTGACCCAACTGTTTAATATCCTAAAAAGATATTAAACAAAAAATAAAATTAGAAATACATTTCATATCAGAGTACTCAATTTACTAAAGAGACAACTGTATAAATGTTTCTAATGTTTTATATTAAGTATGTATTCTGAAAATATTCTTATTTTAATTAAAAAATTGCTGTGTAATTTGTGAGCATAACAATTGTGCAGAGCAGTATTTTTCAAAGCTCTTTCATCAAATGAAATTGTCATTGTGTAAATGCATAACATTGGAGGCAAAGCTATAATTTTAACTAGATATTTAACTAGATCTGTAAAGAATTATCTGGGCTTTAAAAGGGACAAATAGTTCAAAAATTTTGAAAATTATTATACTTTTAAAAAATTATTAATTTCTCAAGATTTTTTCCCTAGGTTAAAATTATTAGAATCAATAAATAAATTGTATAAATTTTAGCAAATTTTTATGAGCTTAGATAATGTAAAATTTAAGTAATTTTTTTAAATATTGAGAAATTAGATCAGTTTTTTCATTTATATAAAACTGTGGCTTTTCTTCACATTGAGCTTTTTGTACCATTTTCATAAATGGCTCTGACAGTATGCCAAAATTTGACCTAAAAGTCATGATTTACTAACAAATTCATAATAATTATGTAAATAGCATATTATTAACTAGAAAATAAACTTGTATTTTAAAAACTAATGCAAATTTATTGTTTTTTCCTTATATAATCAGGTTTAGGTGTTGATGATACTAGGATGGATTTATCTCAATTTGATGAGGGAGGAAGGACAGTTCCATCAACACCACTGCAAGTTTCACCTCCTGGTGAGTTTGTAAATTTAAGGCAACATTGTTAACTCCTTTAAAATAATTGATGGTTTTTGTTGCTAAAATATAACCCATTTAATGTATAAATCTACACTCTTAAGTGCTTTTTTAAAGAAAAATCCTTGTATTGTACCCAGGGCTGGATTAACCTATAGGCACACTAGGCACGTGCCTAGGGCCTACAAAATTCAGGGGCCTACGAAAAACTTGGGAGAAAAAAATTTGTTGACAAAAATAATTTAGCTTTAAAAACAACAAGTGTATTTTGCACAAAATTATGAAGANATTTTTTTTTCTTTTCACGATAAATTTCGCACTGAATAAATTCTTTTTATTCATAAATTTTATCACTAGGTTTTTTTTTTTTTAAAATTCCGTTGATCTTGCCTTGTTCCGGGTTATAATATTTATGCTAGTGCCTTTTTTAACTATCGTTTCGGTTCGATAATTTTCAAGTGTTTTGATTTAGATTAATAAGTTTTCCTTTTATTTTATTGTTTTCCCCCTCCCCCGTTTAATTAGGTATGAAATATATTGAGTTATTTAATCATTGGTTTTGTTTATATAAGTTAATTTAGGAATTGTAATTATTTTTAAAAAATAAATATGAGAATTTTGTATTTTTTAAACTTGTTTTTCTTGTCTAAACTTGTAAATTTTTTTATTCTTTTAAATGTTATATTTCTACCATTTTTTTTTCTCTTTAAAGTTAGGAGTACCTTTCTTTTTTCTCTTACTTTATGCATTACACTTGTCGGTATTGCAGATAAAGTTCGATAAACAAATTTGTAAATTAAAATCCATATTAATAAAAATGTAAAAAAAAAAATATGCAAGAAAATTTTAGCATATATTTTGAAAAGAGGGAAGGGCCCAAAAACGGCTATGCCTAGGGCCTACAAAAGGTATAATCCGGCTCTGTGTCTAGGGCCTACGAAAGGTATAATCCGGCTCTGACTGTACCATTATACCCATTATCTATTTGAGTTTGGCTTGAAAATTTTTTTTAATGTTATCCACGATTTCTTTCACTACCCTCTCTTTAACTTTTTTTTAATAATAAATTTCCCATATTTTTGGTGCGTATCTGCAGATATTGAAAAATAGCCACTCTACCAAAAATGTTCTGTTATGCCCTTTTCAAAATGTATAAAAACACTAATCATAATTATTTTAAAATCCATAGGAATTATTAAGGTTAATATCAGCAACTGGCTATTTAGAATTTTTTAATGTGACTTATTGAAAGATCATTCACAATTTGATTTTTGTAATATTTTGTTAATAACAGTGAAGTTTCTATAGGCAGTTTTGCTATCTTAGTCTTACATGTTTATTTTAATAGCTTTATTTTGATTTAGAAATATAATGTTAGATAGTGAATGATTTTCTTGCATTCTATAATTCCAAGATAGATACGGTCAACATTTTCCAAATAGTTAAACCTTTCTAAATTTATTAAAAGAGAAAGATCTTGTGATAATTTATTTTTATATTGTTATTAAATTTGATATTTCCCATTTCATAGAGCATCATTTAAAATAATAATTAGTTGATAAATTTTCTACACCAAAATCACTTTCTTAATTGTTTTTTCAAACATGTTCTTTTAAATTTTTAGTTTATATGCTTTTCCTTCAGAATTTTATCTCTATTATCAAAATTAACTGTTGGAGATTTATTTTTGTTTATATTTTTTTTTTTTCTTTTATTAAGAACAAAAAAAAAAAAAAAAANTTTTAAAAAAAAAAAAAAAAAAAAAAAAAAAATAGCATGGATATAAAATATAAGCTTTTGGCTCCATTTTAAGGATTCTTTTTAGAAAAATAAATAGAAATTACAATCTGTACATTATGCCAATCATTTAGTACATATATTTTGCAAGCAAAGAGAAAAAAAGTAAATGCAAAAATGACTAATTTAACGGCTTAGAAATAAAAAAAAAAGGTATATTTATATTTTTAATATCAGTTTAAAAATAAGTGAACACTATTTTTTTAAACATAATTTAAAACTAAATAGATATGATATTAAAGAACATTACAGCTGCATATATAGATAAATGTATATAGATTTTAAAATTTGGCATATCTTTAGTTTCCATGAAAAATAAAATAAAAGAACTTTAATTGCCGATAAGAGATAATTAATGTTAATTTGCGCAGTACTGTTACATAACACCTATAACAACTACAAAATGCAGGAGCTAACTTAATCCTCAATAAATAAGGCAAATTTAAATAATTAATAATAATTTTTAAATAAAAAATAATTCAAATATTAAAAATATACTAACTTTACTATGTATAATGCAATTTGCAGAAAAATTATATATTGAGCAAGTTAAAAAATAACTTCAGATGGAAATTATCAGGACTAAATTCTTTTCTTTGTTAGTTTTTCATTTTGTTGTATGTACCATTCATAGTAAAGTTCATTTTAAGATATGTATGACATTAAGTGTGTTGAATTCGCTTAGTAAATTTATTTTAATTTGACTTTAGCAGAAGTAATTGTCCCTGACGTCACTGCAAGTCTAGAATCAGTTGCTGCATCTGTAAGTGTCCCTGAAATAATTGTTCCAACCATCAAGATTGAAACTGCTGAAGAACTATCAGCAGATTGTCAAAATGTTCAGAAATCGTGAGTTTTTTTCTTTCTGTCAGTGTTTGCATTATTTTTAATTTTTTGAAATGTTCTGAAACAAATGGTCTTTATTAAAAGCACAAATCATAAATAATTATCAGGCTATATTAGCTTTTTAAGTAAATAAGTAAAACGTTGATAAGTATTCCAGTAAATTTCAATTTGCTTCGTTAATTTTTTCCATAATTTTTTCTAATTTTTTCCAAAATGGTCCATTATCAACGAGTCAGTGAGATCAGGGAAAACCCGGAAGTGAAACCAAGGAACGTTGCATTTTTTACAAAATAACTCGGAAAATTCTTATATCTGGAAAATAAATAGTCTTAGAGTTGTCAGTAACTGTCATCAATTATTGAGATTAGAGTTAAATAATTCGAACATCTATTACAGTTATTTGTTGTAAAAATTTCACATTTCAGTTAAATTGACATGTTTCCATCTTCATTCAATGATATTTTTTCACCCACAAAATCTAATACTTGGCATTACAAATGTAAATATCAAAGTTTTCTGATGAAAAATGGCATGGCGTCAATAAAATTGGATCTGGATTTTCATTGAAATTTACCTGATGAACCTGGAAAAGTCAGGCAATTTTTTTTTCTAAAATTGAGTGAGAACCCTGATTACATACCATTTTTATGGGAGAAAAGTTGCTAAATTTGTCGTAAATTCTTGGATACCTTGCTTCCTAATGTGGAGCCTAGAAACTTTGGGAATGTAGAGTAGGCTTTTGTCCAGGAAAAACCTGGAATTGTTCAAGGACTTTTATTTTAACTCTAAAAAGCTGAAAATAGTCAGGGGAAGTTGCAATTTTTTTACAAAATAATTTGGAAAATAATATACTTGGTAAATAAGCAATCTTAGAATTGTCAGTAACAATAATCAGTTACTGAGATTTGAGTTAAATTATTTTATGAAACTTCACTTTTTAGTGGAACTTTTCCATGTTTTCATTCTATTCTATGTTTTTTCTAACAAAATCTAATATTTGGCGTTTTCTGATAAAAAAAAATTGCTTGGTATAGATAAAATATGGTACGTATTTTCATTTAAATTTATTGAGTATACCTGGAACAGTTAAGGAATTATTTTTTTCTGAAATTGTTTGGGAACCCTGTTTGTCTCAATTTTTCCTGAGTTGCCAAGTTGTAAGATTTCTTGTGTGAGTGAGAGAATGACTGAAGCCAATTACAATGTCTTCTCATTACATCTTATTGTGTGTTGATAAAAATATGTAAAGTTCCCAAGCTAAAATGTGTATTTTCAGCAAAATGGCATATGGTAAACAAATATGTTTGCAGTTTCCTTTTCAACCAAAATATACAAAAAGCATTTTTTTATTTATTACTTTAAGAAATTAAATCACTTTTGCATATATTTAGAATGAATCTATTTTGATTTGTAATAACTAATGTTTAAATTTAAGCAGTTTCATTTGTTTGAAATGTATTACGTTTTTTCAGTGATGCCTCAGATTCAGTGTTTGTTGATCCATCAGTTATTAAAGGTGAATCTTCATCGAAACTAGACGAAAAAGAATCAAATGTATCAGCATCAGATCAACCTGAAACATCTGAAGGTATTTTTTTCAGCAACTCTTTATAATAACTTAAAAAAAGTGTACTAAACCACCATGAACGCCAGATTAAGCTTTTTTTGGTGTAAAATAGTTATCACTATATTTGGTGTTTATTAAAACTAAAATTCATAATAATAATAATAACAACATAATAAGCTTAAGAATCTGTGGCGCTATTTTAATGATATAATTTAGAGCGAAAATTTTTTTTATATGGAATATATCTAATCAGCTCTTAAAATAAAACTAGATTATAAATCAACCATAAGTAAATAAAAAATAAATATTTTAAAATCATTTAATACAATCAGCAGATATATGGGTGATTCTCACGAAATATGACAATTCACTGTCCCTTGCTCCAAGATCTAATACTTTAATACTAAAAGAACTTTTTTTTAAAAAAAATTTATAAATAGCATTGCTGTTAGCATTTTAAAATTACTTTGCACTAGCATTGACTGTTTTGTATAGTTAAAAAATTTAATTGAACTTCAAAATTTCATGTTTCTGGCATGTCCCAGACAATGCTTCCAGTAATAACTAGCTTCAAAACTTCCCATAAATTTTTCAATATCTAATTTTTTTGTATCCAGGGCAGATTGTGCTCCAGAAAAAATCCGGTTTTCCGGATTTTTTGCTAACAGTGATCCGCAGATCGAAGGTTCAGACGTTTTGAACAATCATTGATCACAGAAGTTTCCGGAAATCAAATTTTCAAAGGTGGAACTTAAATACACAGTTTATTTTATTTGTTTGTAAGGAAGAGCCAGAGATATACTTTATAAGCTTATATTCATGATTAATATTCATTTTTTATCAGTAAATAATTGTTATAATCATAAACTCAAGAAAGAAAGACATATTTGTAAATTTTAATTACTTCTCCAGGTCATCGTAGGTATGTGAAAATGATATAGGTATGTGTAAAATTTAAAAAATATTTTAAGTAAACTAAGAAATATTGAGAAAAGGGGAAAAAAACATGTTTGAATTTTTTTTCTAATTTTTCAATTTAAACTTTTTTTTTAACTCAAGAAATTTTTCGGAATTTTGACTTGGGCTCACAATCACCCCTGTTTATCTCAACTGGTGTAAACATTTCTAGAATATACGCAGGGGGTATTATTTACAAAAACTTAGTTTAAAATAATTTTGGAGGGAAAGCAAATATTAACCTAATACCAAGTTTATGTTATGATTGTAATGTGCTTGGATGTAATCAAAGTTATTTATTTATTTAATGATTGATTATTATACACAATTTTATTCTGTACGTATCTGCAACAAAAAAAATTTTGATTCTTTCTAACAGTGGATAAAAAGAATTCATTTAAGCAATTTATGGTCCATCTAACATAAAGGCTTAAGTTGAGTAGTTACTTACTATTAACTTAAAATGACTGTTTTTTAAACTTCTAAGCTAATATGTCATTTTCCTGGCATTCAAGATTTGGTGAATTTCTATTTTATTTTATTTTTTTTGGCGAGCAAATGTCAATGAACTACACTGCTGTCTGTAAGTTATTAATAAGTGTAACTAAAGAAGTACCTATACAAAAAACATTTTAGATTATTTTGAAGACTTTAAATTTGAAGAAATTTGTTGGTCAAAATTGTCATGTTTCAAAAGAATCACCCATGTATCAATTCTGACATGATTGTCTTTTTACACACCTAAAAATATACATGCCTTTTGCAACAAACTTTTTTGGCAGCCTGCAAGACAACAATTTTGCATCACTTGGCACTCAAAAGTAAATAATCTACCGTTGCCATATAAGGATTTTCAAACATAATCTAAGTAGATTTATGCGGTGACAAAAACAATTTGTTAATGAGTGTGAACTTAGTTTAAGCATTCCTTGGGGTGCTTAAGGGTGTTTAGATTTAAATAACCCTTTAAGTGTTTATAAACACTCAATTCGGTGTTAACTTTAAATCACATACATTTTGAAGTTGATCAATACCAAATTTAAAGAGGTATTACATCACAGTTTTTACAGTGGATTTATTTTATATTGTGTATCTTTGGGCTGTGGGATATGTTTTGAGTAATAATTTTTTATGTTTAATTATTAGCTCGTGAAGAAACAGGTCCTGGTACCTCCAAGACTGATGAATCTGCTTCTGCTGACAGTGAACAGTCTTCTAAAAGTAATATTTTATGTAATATTTGTATTGGTGTTAACTTTTGGTTTTATATATTTATTTTCTCTAAAAATAAAGTTAAAGATGGAAAATAAAGTTTAATATTCCATGTTCATTGCTGCAGTTGCATACTATTTGTTTCAGATTTTCATGTATAAATTACCTCTGATTAGGATGGTTCATCGAACTTCTACTGATGAGAACTATTTACTCCAAAGTTAATTTAATAGTAGAATATTCTGAATGAAATGGTAGAATATCCCGTATGAAGAATATTCCTGATTTTTTCTTCTTTTTAATAGTAATTAAATTTTGCCATTGCAATAAAGTGACAGCAATGGAAGATAGTTTAATATCCTGGTTTTGTACATATCATGTTCTTTAAGTGAAATTTTATGATCTTGTTCAAGCTTGTTCCTCTGTCCAATTACTTCCAACATCTTCAGAGATCTAAAGTTTTACCCATGGAAGGAAAACACAAAAGATTCCTGCAGAATATTCTACTCAAAATTTTATAAAATAAATGGAAAACATAAATTTTGTTTTCTGCAAAGTTACATCTTTTATTTCAATTCAATCCAAAGGGTATTGCAACTTTCTTGAGTAAGCATGGAGGGGGTTTGCAATTTGCTCATTTTTGCTACCAAAGAGGAAGAGGAGTCCAGAATGGCTAAAAAATATGCAGGGGTAATTGTATTCCAGGGGTATCCCACAATTCCAGGTTTTTCGTATTTTCCTTCTGGGTCTAAAAATTAAGAGCAGGACATAAGAATTTTCTGAGATGGTTCTCGGATTTTTCTGAGATGTTTCTCGGACTTTCGCTAATCAAAAACTTATAATCTGACAAAATTTTTGCTAATTCCCGCTAACGAGACGCTCACATACACGCGAGTCTTTTAGTTTGGCAGATTTTCGTCATTTTGAATATTTGAAACTGTGCCGGAATCCGCTACTATCACGATTCCTACTCACGCGATTTGTATATCAAGTATAGATTTACGTCATTTAAGTTACGCATTGCGATTTTTATTCACGTGGTTTAAAAATCGAATACCGCTATTCGTATTCACGTGATTTTAAAAATCCAATATCGCGATACTTGCAAAAACTAAGATTTTTTTAAAATTAGTAACTATGAATGTGTGATATTCATCAATTAGGTAAATTAATTTTAAATTTTGTTTAAAAAAATTTGTTAAATACGAAACATGTATGTTATTTAAATTGATGTCGAGTTTTTGCACATGAAATTTTCAGGGTCTTTCACTTTGTGTCACAATCACCTCTGAATATGCTTCTGTAATATTTGAACGGCCTTCTATAACAAAGTGGACTTTATTAGAATATGTTGCATTTGGTGCTGACGTTTTTTTAATTTTATTTATAAAGGATATCTAATTTTTATTGTCTTACTGTTTGTAAATGCAAATCATACTATAAAGTTTCTTTTAAAAATTAAGTATTAAATGCTTACAAGGACAAAGCGATTGAGAATTAGATTTCTTGAGAAAATAGAGGTTACAAACATTTGCACTTTATGTAAAATTTTTCTAGTGCTATTAAAATTTAATTGGTAATAAGTATAATTTTTTAAAAATTCCATTTCACCTAAAAACAGGCACAAGATTCTTCCGCTGTTTACAGGGCTCGAAAAACTCCGCCCGTGCTCGGCGGTCAAAAATTCCCCGCGGTCAATGAATTTCTCGAATCCGACGTCCGCGCGGACGGCTATTTTTCCGTTAATGTTCGTGATACATTTTCAATTTTTGTTATCTAACAAGAGTCTAGCGCCTAACTTCTAAAATGACCCTCCAATCTAGAAATCCCGTTAATTCTTTCGTCAGACCAAATGCGCTCACGTAATCGGTAAACAAGAAAAAAAGTTGCTCTGTGCTGTGCACTTCTAACGAAGGAATTAACAATTCCTCTGATCACGAACCGCCCAGCTTGTAACGTCACTTTTCAAGAAAACACATTTCGTACTGGTCATAGACAAGAAGGGTTAAACGCAATTATGAACATCTTCCTAAATGGAAAACCCCTTTCAGAATTACAGAAACCTCTGTAAATCATTGGCTTGATTGTAGAACTGGCAAAAGTCATAAATTATCATAACATCATCATTTAAAAAACTCAGTACCCCCCGGATGAATTGGCATTCCAGATAACTTGACCTTTGTCATTTAAATTATTTCACAAATGAAATACTAGGTTACTATTAGTAAACTAGCATATATTTTATTACAGTATAATGTAATCCTAGTAACTACTAATTCATTGTGCAGTTATATAAATGTTTGCAATAAATAAGAGAAAATTATTTTTAGAAGCGACGGGCTAGTTTCAAAGGAGGACGGGTAAAATTTCTGAGCTTTTTCGAGCCCTGGCTGTTTATCATTTTCTCTTTATAATTCATGTATATTTAATTATCATCTAAATTTTTGTTATACTTTTGAGGATGTTGAAAAATAACAACTTAGATTCCATAGATATTTGAAGATTGCTGTCATTTGCTAGCACTTTTCAATGTTAAGGACTCTTTTGTTTTCTAATGAATGTTTACTGTAGCTATTATTCTTTTAACAGGTTTATCGGCCCCTAGTCTTCAACGAAAACCCATAGTCTGGAGCAAACTAAGCAAAGAACCTGAAGCAACCAGTCCTGAAACTGCAGCTTCAGGTGATGTTACCCAGAGTCCTCCTAGCCAAGGTTTACACCCCACGCCCGTTAGAGGCAGAACCAGAGCACGACGAGGTAGATATGCTTTAAGTGCAACTCATTATTCCAGGGGACGCGGTGGAGAAGCTGCTTGGCCTGGATCTCCACGTCGTGGGCGTCCCACAAGACGACGCACCATGTACTGACCAATGTGATATGTGCTAAATGGGCTGTAGGGTGGCATGCATGTTATTAAATTTCATCTTTCATCAGGTCTGAAACAGTATTTCAGACAGAATATTTTGAGTGCATTTCTATTTTGTTTCATTTACAGACATTATATTTTTTGTGTCGAAAGTTTTAGTTCGTTTCTACCTTTTTAAAAGAAAGATTTGTGGACAGATAATTATTTTACAGAATTGCTTGATTAAGTGGAAAAAGTAAGAGTATTTTGATTTTGTCTTGATGTGGATTTCTTTCTGAATTTGTTATCCTCTAATATCTCTTTGTAATATTTAAGAACAGAAATGATTATGTGACTAAATTGCTCTATAATGTAGCAAAATAATAATTGTTTGAAATTTGCTGACTTGATTTGGAATTTTTACTACATTTGTATTGATATTTAGTTTTCTCTATCTCTTTGTAATATTCATGAACAGAAATCGTTATTTGACTAAGTTGCTTCATAAAAAAGCAAAATAGTTTGAAATTTGTTGGCTTGATTTTACTTAATTTGCTTTTCATTAACTTTTGATTTTATCTACCTCTTGGTAATATTTATTAACAGAAATGATTATATGACTAAATTGCTTGATAAAATTACAAAGTAATAATTGTTTGAAATTTGTGGGAGTTATCTATTAATTTTCTCTGTTTATCTAAAACTTTTTCAATTTTAAAAGTCAATTTAATTGTATAAAGGAAATCTATTGTGGTTAATTTGTTAAAGAAATTATAATTAAGTTATTGATTTTAACTAATTTTTAATTTTTGTAATTTAAATTTTTTTCTTTCTGATTTCAATTTTTTTATTTTTTTAAATTCCTACTTCTGCTTTTTTCCCTGCATTGAATATTGTTCAATATGTTCAATTGGCAGGTTTCTGTAGCAAATATGAAGTAAATCGTATAAAATGAACAAATTTGGTTGCTTTAAAAAAAAAAAAAAGAATTTGTGTTTTTGCACTTGAGATTATTGATTTTTGTTAGTAAATTTCAAATATAACTTTTTTTTTCACTAAATATTTTTTAAAAATATTTTTCTTTAATTCTATTCGCATAAAATGAGAAGTTAAATAATTTTCATGGTAATTCATTTACAAATGCTATGCTGGAACTGGGTGCCAAAAAAAAATGACTAACAAGTGTGACAAAAATCGCATCCACTGTGATATTTTGTTTGTCAAGAGAAATATTTTTCTATAAAATAATCAAGATTTCCTTTTGTTGATATTGTTAGGTAAAGGAAGCTAAACAATGTTAATTATTCCGAAGATTCAGCCCTAAAGTTTATTTCATTTATCATTTGCTTTTTGAAACGCTAAATGCTATGTTGTATTCCTGTATAATTTAAGTTTTGTCAAAATGCTTATTTTTATGTAAATAAAGTTGATTAATAAAATCAGAGATTCATTTTTTGTTGTACTTGAGTTCTACTCTCCAAAATTTCTGTCAAAACTGAAACCTTGTCCTCCCAGTATGATGACTAAAAAACACATATCTAGTATCCAGAGATGCCAACTGCTCCGGACAAGCCAAAATTATTAAAAAAACTTATTACAAACTAACTGCAAACTAAATTTTGCAAATATTTGACTATTTTTCTTTGTTTTTTAAAAGGTACAGCATGACATAACTACTCTAAAGTGGTGAATTATATAAGCCCATGAATTATTTAGAAATAGTGGTGGATAAAAATCTACTAAATTGAATTTATTAAACCAAGAATCACGATTGATAAACTACCACTTTATAACCCTTTGACGGTCAGGGAAATGAGCAGTTTTTGTTTCATTAATTCGCGCAGTATTACGTGCAAACAGTAGTCGAAAATGGCATCTGTTTTCCACCTCCGTTCTTCCAAAAATGTCACCCTTCTCTGGCGATGCCAACAGCTCCGTCTTCTGAAATTGTTATAATACAGTGGTAGCAAATTATGTAGTAAATTTCGTTGAAGATGGACAATTACGCCTACTTTTTAATTGAGTAACCAGTAGATTGTTGCTTTAACGTTGCATTTCATATGTTACTTATAGTTTTTGATATTTAGTGGTGAAAAAATTACTTAGAAGGAAAAATACTAAACTGGAAGTAACTGGACTTTCGCTATCACTAGGAAATACTATTTTACAAAGCGGAGCAGGTTGGCATCTCTGGATGCGGTAGATAGCTCGCCTCACGCGTTTTAAAAATTTCTTAAAGTATTCGTAGTACATAAATAACAGTTTTTACGTACTTTTCGTTTTTAACATAGTCAATGCAGAATAATAATGGCGAACGAGCTCAGCTCGTCAGCGCGCATTGGGGAAAAATTTCACTACCCGAGTAGTGCTCGTTACTAACCATTACGGTCGAAATCTTGCTCCCGAGCGGAACTCGTTTGCGCGCATTATGAGGCATGATTCGATTGCGAGCTGAACTCGTTCATAACCGTCAAAGGGTTAAAATATATATTTTCTGTCCGGAGCAAGTTGGCATCTCTGTAGTATCTATCAACTTTTGCTCCTTCCAAAAATAATTTTCTCATGTGGTAGAGAAATGAAAAATCATATAGTCCTAAACATTTTTGTGCAGTCTACGCTCTTTAGTATAACTTCCCAATATGGTGAACCTTCCCTTCCGAAGTGTTTGATGGGCCATCATAATCTTGTTAGTAACCATTAATAATTCCATCATAAACCTTTACATTTTTTGAGTAACCATCACCCCATTGTAGAAATTCAGACCTATTTTTGATGGTCTTAACATAAGAATAGCAACTTGCTTTGATCGTGTTGAACCATCAGAAATTTCCATCCTAGTTCCTTAGAAATCAAATGTTGGAACGATCTTGAACCACCATCACCCCAATGTAGGAATTCGGTCTGATTTGTGACGGGCCTACATAAAAAAATTTGATGCTGTATTCTTGTTGAACTAACAAGAATTCCCATTAAACCATCGTAGTATTAAAGTAGCATTTTTCGTCATGAAATGATTGAAGTTTTTTAGCATATTAAACACCATGAATGTTGAATGATGGTGACCATCAAATGATGTTGGACCATCGTGAACTGAAACCAGTAAACCATCAAAATCTTTTGATGGGACGAACAGGAATTTTTTCTTGAGGTGCAACGACCTCTGCGTTGTCTCGTTTGCTATTCTATAGATGGGATGTTCATACTGAACTGTTAATTTTCAATTCAAAGAAACTATTTAAATCATTTTTCCCTTTGATGTTGCCACACTCTGAATGTAAAGCTTTTTGAATGAAAGAGTGATAAACTCCTGAATTTTTATGTAAATCTTGGTTGGCCATAATAAACAATTATCAATTTCTTTATTGGTGTGCGTTTCGATTACTTCTGAATCGAGTCAGTGTGTTTGAAATATTCTAAATTATGAAAAGAGGACTGTAACAATAAACTTAATATTTAATTTGTATGAAAGAATTACATGGACCAGCAAGGGTCGATCAATCAATGTTTTTGCATGGAAAGTAGGTACTTCATGCACTTACAACAGTTACAAACATCTACCACTACTACTGCTACAATTTTTTCTCTGGCCCATACGCCCTCTGGCGTCACTTAACATTTATATACTATGAGGAGGTAAAAGTACAGTTCTTCCACATTCTCGGAAAGAAGAATACTGTTTTATATAATAAAATAAAAGTAATCTTTAATGCTGAAATATAAGAAACTTGTTTATGCAATTAAATGTTCATTCCTAATCTGTTTAGTCCAGCAGCGGACTGATCGTTAAGACGCGGTTCCCAGCAGATCACCGAAGTCAAGCATCACTGGCTACGGTCAGTGTGCGGGTGGGTGATCCACTTGGATCAGTCTGCGTAGGGTCCGAGGGTGTGCGGTATTGGTCCTCGTTAAACTGTGCTACCGTAAAGTGCTCGACTTCGCGTGCAGGTCGTCGGGCTACCGAAGCGTGGGTGACATCCCCTCCGCAGAGGATCAAAATTGTGATGGCATGTCTTCGGATCATCCTCAGGGATGTTTCCCAGACCGTCACCAATAGCCCATTGTGCAGCTCTAGTGCGACATAAATTAACAACGACAACAACTGCCAGATATTCGTCTGGAGCTGTGGCGGTGTCTATGGTAACGAGGTGTGATAATTTCAAGTAGGGGTGCGAGATCCCTCTTTAGGACTGGTTTCGGCGAGAGAAGAGCCCTCTTCTTGTTTCCATAGCACCAGACTGCCGCAGACTTAATGGCGGTTAGAGTACCTATCTTAGACAAACAGTATCCACAATTCAGTACCCCCAGAGGTATGATTTGTTATAGGAACGTGTTGGACATTGTGACCCGACACATTGAACTTGCACCGATCACCATTCTTTGAGCATGAACCCAACACCTTACCAACCAGGCTATCCTGGCCCAAAATATGAAGATAAAGCAGCTATTTTTTATAAGAAAAAACACTGTCTCAAAGTGATATGTTTTTAATTGATGAATAAAAATTAAGACATTTTTTTATTCATACAAAATAGCTAAAAATGAAATTTTAGCTACTATGAATTCATATCGAAAACTAGCTAAAAATGAAATTTTTTAGTTACTAGTTTTTACTCTTTTTCCTTTTTTATACATATGGACTTTCAGTACTGCTCATGGGCACGTTTCGAGTACAAAGGATTCAAAGATAAAAACAATGTAGAAGTTAATATGTATTAACAATTTTGATATGCCACTGTACAGAACTCTACTTCGTATTTCAAGTAAGTCAATCATGACAAGTATCAATGCTCTGAAGTGATACATTCTATATTCTGTCACAAAGATTTCAATTCTTTCACTATATGTTTATTGCGTAACACAAAGGCAGGAACAAAACCATGTAGAACATAAACAAACTAATTAAACATCGCAGTCATCAGGTACACAAAAAAAATATTTATCATGGTTATAATAAAACACATGAAAAAATAATAAATCTAAGTTAAGTAAAAGATGTAGACGAAAAAGAATTATATTTTAACAAATTCGATGTTCGAAACTGCTTTGCATTTAATTAACTTCACGTTTAGCATTATAACTTACGTGGAGAAATTTAGCTCGATTTCAGATCATAGTCTAGTTCATAAGCGATCAGTTGGAGTTTAGGTCATAATTCAGTGTCTGTGTATCAGTGATCGTCTTCTAGAGTTGCAAGTACCCAATTGATATATTTTGTTACAGTTTCTCAACGAAAACTCCCGACGGCGATAGCTATCATTTTCTCATTAGAACATTTTTTTCTTTTATCCAAGCAAAAAAAAAATGAATGTGTGGTCTGCAGTCTGCAATATTTTCCCCCCTCGGAGCCATGGTGATTCAGGGGATAGAGCTCTCACTTTTCAATGACATGGACGGGTTCGAATCCAAGCAATGGCTGAGAGATGTGAATTCCGCACCTGGCTTGCACTGACCACAGTGCTGAAGTAAAATATTCTCTGTGGTAAACAGATTTCGGTTTAGAGTCCCCTGGCCGTCAGACTAACAGTGGGAAGTTTCAGTGATTTTCCCCTCCGTGTAACGCAAATGTAGGTTAGTTCCACCAAAACGTCCTCCACGAAGGCAAATTTGACCCAAAACTTGTCTCCGGGTCTCTTGTCTTGTAATCCAGAAACTCCCTTGTCTTCTGGATTGGGTTCAAAATGAAGGTACGGAGTTAAACATTGGTAGTCGTTAACCAAAAATCAGATCGGCTGTTCAACGACGGTTATAAAATATTTTTTCTCGATGTATTACTGAATAATAAATGAATTAGTACACTTCGTACTAATGATGATTTTTAATTAACTGAAATGTGATGAACCATGATGCTTACCGGTCACGAAAATCAAATCAAAATTTATACATTTAACATATGATGATCTTTACAAATGAAGAGCTGCAAGGGTGAAGTAGGTAAGTGACATTTTCAAAGTGGCTATAATCAGGGTAATATCCTAACTATTTTATTGTAGATTAATAAAAGGTGGAGCTAATGATTCATGGTCTTATTTTATATACCCCCACCCAATATGACATAAAAATCATGCAAGCATACTCAAAACTAATATGGATTAGTTAAACCAATATTGAAGTGGAAACAAAAACAATTACATTACATTAAACATACCCAATTTGATACCAGAACCTCATGTTAGTTTCTCTGATTAAAAAATACTCTACAAAATGTCACTTACCTGCTTCATCCGCTAAGCTCTTCAAATATCTCGATACCATTAGACATACTGACTTACTATACAAACGGAAAAGTTCATTCAAGTATTTCAAACTAAATCGTAATATGAATCCGAAATTCGTCTCTGAAAGAATCAGTTTATTTTCCTACACCTTTTAGATCTGAAATCATATCGCTCACCCTCACAACACCGTCTCCCAGACTCAGGAACACATTCTTCTATATTGATTTTCATTAAATTATGTAAAGCATAACCTCTACCTCTGCCGTAACCTAACAGAGAGAAATAATACAAACAATCGAGCAGGTTGTTTACCATACAATGATTAAAAATGTCGCTGTAATTAGATCCCTCAGATAGCATTCGTTCTACAACAACTGGCCAGCATCGCAACGAATCTAGATTCTCATAATTGCATTCAGCACAATGCAAGTTTCTGTATACTTTTTCCTCTGAGAAGATAGGTTCTTGGTAGGAATAGCACAGATTACGGATAGAGTTATTCGTCCACGTTGTTGAGCATTTCGAGATTTCTAATCTAGGCATGCAAGTTCTGAGTTCCAGTGAGTCTGTGAAACTATTATTATGCCCATTAGCAAAGAATTTGCAAATGCACCTTCTTCGGAAACCATTGCCCTGATCTGTAATCACGCTTTGTAAATTGCCTTTTCTGTACACAAATTGGCGTTCTATATGGTCATCTAGATCATCATGCTCTGAACAGCACCTACGACAAAAAAAGAAAGTAATGTAATTGATGAATTATTATTGCCGGGTGTTGAAGGCGAAAATAGGTCAATTGAATTCACAATATCTTACTTCAAATAAACATCCCAAGTCTTCAGCTCTTCTGCATCGTTGTTGCAAATAGCACAATGAACATTTATGTAGGTAACTCCAGATACTTTGCTAGTTACAGGTGGTAAATGCCCAATACCTTCTGAGCAAAAGACGGATAATCCGGACCAAGTTGCTGAGCAGTCAGCAACTGCTTTGTATTTAGCTTTGCCAGAAAGAGTAAGACATATCTTTCGGACGGATGGGTTTACTCCTGAAATTGTGCAAAAGGTTTTGATGGAAAAATTTAATTACAAAAAATTTCAATTTTTTTAACTAGTTGTTCTTCATTGTCACACTTCGAGCACCTCATTTTAACAAATTTCACTGATTTTAAGGTTGTTCATGTCTACTTTATGTAGGGCTGTTTGAGGTGGTGTGTAGGTCATGAGGGAGAAGACCATCCTAGCATGCCCCACGACAGCAATGCTTATAAGTGTGCTTCAATAAATAAAGTTATTTGTTGAAGCATCAACAACTTTACCCCCTTCCAGAGAAAGAAGTGAATAAAGCAGAATTAACACAGTTTAACTTAAGTGGCTTAAATCAAAAGTAAAGAAGGATGCCAACCCTGAAAGAGTGTCAGTAAGGCTTTCACTGTAATTGTAATTTATTCATATAAGCTCTATCAGTTATCAACGTTTTTAAGAGTTGGTGAAATTTATTTTAGAAAATTCTTTCCATTTTAATTATATTTTTACTACCACATTGTTGCGTTCTCAACGACCATCCAAGTGGGCAACTATGTCGGTAGATATTAATATCTTCATGCACTAAAATTAATGTTATTAACAAAGTAATTTACCTACCGCTTTTTAATTTTTTGAAGTTAGGAATCTCTTAGATACAGTCTGTAAATAAATGGCTGCTATCAAAATATTTAAATTTTAACTTTCGTTGTATTTCGCAAAATACTACAGTGAATTTTAGAACGAAATATTTAGCAATAACATCAGATTTCGTATGCAAGGCTGCCAACTTCTTATCCTTTTGCAACATATTTTATAGAATGGTAGACAATCAAAAACTAAAGTTTTTAGAATTTTGGTTAATTTGTATTTGACTAACATTTAAAAGCCTCACAATGTAGAATTGAAACAAAGTAGCTATGCTATTTTAGAATCATTGACATGCTTGGAAAATAACTTCAAATCATTTTACTAAGCGAAGAATCACACCTTAAAACATAAAATTTGCTATCAGTAGAAGAAATTTTCGACAAAGTATAGAAAGTTGGCCTACCGTATGGTCCTTAAAAACTCAAAATGTTTTAGTATTAAGAAAATAAGATGTAGTTTAATAATTTTGTACTCACCACCACGCTTAATATCTCAGAAAAAATTTAAGTCCTGGCAAATTAATAAATTTATTTTTACCTACAATCGTATTTTTATTATGTTTTCCTTAACACGTGGAATATTTATCCCTCGGAACAATTAAAAATTACCATGCCTGTTCATAGTTAACGCTTTAACCCTTTCGTACGAGCGCCGTATTTAGCTAGCATCCATGTGATGCCTTGAGTCTACGAGCGCTGTATATTGCCGGTATCCATGCTATACATTGGGTCAACGAGCGCTGTATTCAGCCAGCAACCATGCGATGCCTTGGGTCTATGAGCGCGATATTTTTCGGCACCCATGCAATACCTTGGGTTTACGAGCGCTTGTCCATGGCATCTAAAAGAGAGGCCTTGGGTCTACGAGCACTGTATTTAGCCTGCATCCATGCGATGCCCCTTGTGTACTAGTGCCGAAATTATAACCGTTGTCAACGTGATATCGTTTGGCAACTACTTCAAGCTGCCACTGACTAATATTCTGTTTTCCAACAGACCGAAATTCCATTTACCTATATTGGATTTATGTCACTAAAAGAAGTATATATTAAATGCGCTTACTTTATTTCTAAGTCGAAACAAGTGTTATATTTAGGATTCAAGTATGTGCAAAATTAAAGAATCAATAAAAAAAAATCTTAACGTGCAATGTGCACACTTCGCGATGTGGTGCACTGTTCAGTGGCCTCACTTTAGCGTAGCGGACTGCAGTAGCAGAAGAGTTAATTTTAAAACTTACCAACTGAGCGAGATTCTGAATCGTAGCAACAATCTCCGTATACAAAACAGCTTGAGCTGCAAGAGCATGCTGTCGGCGAAAGATTGCCCATACTTTCACTGGGAATTGTAACATTTTCCTGAGGCATAATCATTTGGCACTTTCGTGAACAAGATCCTGCCTCCAAATGCCGACACATATGTTGATTCACGAGCCAGGCTAAGCAGAATGTTAGTAACCAAAATGATTTCATTTTATTTATGAAAAACATCTTCCTTATTAATCAATTCTTTTTATTTACGATGCTTGTTGCCTTTTTTTTTTCGTGATAAAGCTAAAAAAAGACAACAGACATGTTAGAAATGAGATTTTTTTTCAATCATAAAGAAATAATATTTACAGTGATCATTTCGTTTAAAATCAAGCTTCTTTGGTATATATCCTGGCATTGTATCCTACCAACTTGGCATTGTATCCTACCTACAGTGAAGAATAAAATCATTCTTCATATGTAGAGAATGAGTTATCAACAGAAACAGTTAGCTATTGTAATTCGGTGTTGACTTTTATAAAACGGGACCACAATCCCACATTGATGCAAGGGGAGAAAATATAACCTTGAGTTACTATTGTTCAAATAATCGAATTTTCATGAACTAAGTGTCAATAATAATATTTCAAGATGTGGATTTTCAATTCGCCGATTAATTTGTGCTAACTATTAAGTAATGAAAAAAACATATTTACACATTAGCGTTTTCCCTCTGTATAAACAAACCTTATTTTCGACAGATTTAAATCTTGACCAAAAACAACCGTACCGAAATCTGGAAAACATGGTCCCAATGGCTTAAAAAGCACAGTGATCAAAAATTAAAAACCATTGTTGTTAGTTTCACATTTTACTTCGCCACATGACTCAGAATTTTTTTTAATTAAGCAAAAACTTTTGGTACGCATCAACTATAAGCGTTATTCAAAGATAATTACTCGCAAAATTTTTTTATCAATTAATAATCATTTTATTAGTTTATTTGGTCAAAAAATTGATATTCACAAAAAAAGAAAGGAAATTAATATTACGACGCCAAAACTTTCTCCTGCTCTCCTGACTAAAATATTTTTTTCAGATTGTGGTTACCTTTTATACTTTGAAAAATCTGATCATGTCTGGAAAAAAAGTATGTCTGTTAGGAGAGATTGCATTTTTGTGTCCGATTTCGTAAAAAAAAAAAAAAAAATAGTCTGAACTAATTAGCATATTTAAGATTAGATTTATTGAAAAATCCAATAATTTAGAACAAAAGTTTTTTAAGGCTGTTCGAAAAATTTTTGCACAAAATTACAAAATTTGCGTATCCAAAGATAATTCCATGCCAAAAAATAATTTAAATAATCTGTGAGTCGTGGTGGCTCAGCGGATAGAGCGTTTGGCTCCTAATCAGGTGAACTGGCATGGGTCGAACGCCCTACCTACCAGGCTGTCACAGCCCTGTATGCTTAAGAAATAGTATACTTAACGGATATAGCGTCACTAATGAGCCATGTCTAGTCACATAATCTAGTGCAAAAGCGTTGTGACGGGACATTTTAGGTTCGCTAGACTTTAACACGTTCACGCCGGGAAAAGTGAAAATACTGGTACGGGAGAAGAGAAAATACTGGTAGAAGAACTATTTCAATATTAGATAATATTCGGGAGGAGTTAATCTATTCTCAACAATAACAATTCACTGTAAGGAAATTTATCACGGCGAAGAAGCAATTCAATATAAAAATTGCATCCGTTAAAAACAATTGGTAGTTATGGATTTTTATTATTCCGGGAAAAAAACTAAAAAATGAAATTTATTGTTACCAGTTTTTACTCCGGTGCGCTGCCAAGATGAGACAATCTAGCCTGACCCACCGGTGGGTCACCCCGGCGTGAACGTGTTAAGACGCGTCTTTGGGAGAGGGAAAACATTAAAAAATAAACTAAGAAATATCCAATGTTTTTAAAAATAGGATAGAAGGACAAAAGATCCCATGGCAATAGATAAGATAGAGACAATTTAAAGAAACAAAGGACATTTCGCTATAGTGTAAAATGAAGGGGCTTTTTTTAGTGGGGTCAGAGGATGGGAAAAAGTAGGTAATGTAGTAGGATTCTTAGCGGTCAATTTTTTTTCTGTGAAGTGAGCTTGTATTGCTCATTTGAGAAAAAAGTTAGAGTGACAACCGTAATAGTTATATTATTTATGTAAAAGCTTATATTATTATATTTTGATTCAGTTCATTTCTTTTTTCGAGGTGTATTTCTTTCTTGATAAATATTTTAATTCATTTTTCATCCAATAATTGTTTTTTATTTTTTATAAAATGAATATTTTTGTGTTAAAAACAAAAATTTATTTACGGTAAATGAAAAAGAAATATTTTTTTAAAATCAAAATTTGGGTTTTGACTCCCAAAATATTAATAAAGTTCGAGCCCCTCGAAACTGCTTATTATGGAATACAAAAGTAAAGAAAGAAAAAATGCTGTATTTTTTTGTCTCACTAGCATATTATAGAGCAGTTTAAAAATATACACATTAGAAAATTGCAATAAGAGATTTCATTTCGTTTAAATTAATTGTTGCTTATTATTGATTTTTATTCAACTAGTTTTTAAGTTGGTGTGGTTCAAAGTCATACTTCATGAATTATAAAATTTCTCTTATACAGTAACAATTATTAACTGAAAACATAATGTCAAATTTATTGATAGATAATAAATAATATTACAGAAAAATATTTGAAAAAAAGAAACATATGAAATGGGAAGTACTTTTTTTCTGAATATTTTCAATTCACTAAACTGATCCTTTTTCAAAAAATACTTGTAAAAAATAATAGGTTTCATTCAAATTGTTATCATTATTCCAATACGATCACAGAAATGGAATACATTTTCATTGTGTTACATTCTTGTGTAAGAGAATTTTATTATTTGATGTAACAATAAATTAAATTACAATAAATTATTTATAGATTTGATTATTTAAAGATCTGAACACAAAAATAAAAAAAGTATGATAATAAATCTTCGCCGTATTTTATTTCATGCTTTAATCATTGAAAATAAATTTATTAAATAAAATAAAATTATTTATGTTTTTTATTCAATAATTTTAACACAAAAGGGAAATAATTTTTCGTTTTATTTTGTTTCTATGTTCAAAGAAATTAAAAACAATAAATTATTTATCTTTCATATCTAATGACTTGAATGCAAAAATTAAATAAATTTTTATAGAATTTAATGTTTTTGTTCAAATAATTAAATTTTAATAAATTATTTAATCTTCTGAAAAACAAATATTATATTTTAGCACCTGTAATTAATTAGTGGCTTTACCATGAAATATTAAATCACAATAACAAATTAAAAAGGCAGACTTTTGCTAGGGTTTCGACATTTAATGAGTAAAAAAGTTTATTTAGTGTTTATCAAAATATTTTTTCATCTAAGATGAACACGAAATAAATTTAAATGAAGAAAACTTAAGAAAATATCATTCATTACCTGCCAATCATGATGCATTGTGGGAGACCTTTGGAACAAAAATTATATAATTCTTAATTCTGTCAACGATAATTCTGCTGTCTTGAAAAAAAATTACTCTCTTCCTCAAAGGATATCCCTATTTAGATAGTATAATAGGAAATTCTTCACAAAAATAGTCTAGTCGAAAACTAAGCAAGTTTTTCTTTTTTAATGCTGCCCACAATTCTGATGAATGTATTATAAAATAACACAGTTTAAATATGTTTTCGTACTTTAATGTTGCCGAAAACATTTTTTAATCGTCGTTTAAATGTGATTGGACAGGAGATTCGAATATAATAGCTACTTCCTTTTTGACAAAAAAAGATGTTAAGAATAAACAAACCTCTGCGTCTCCTCAATTATCAAAATATTTCATCGATCCTTGAGATAAATAAGTTTTTTCTTTCATAAAAAAGAAATTTGATGATGTTAATATTTCTTAAAGCAAATAGTGTACTTAGTCAGAAAGAAAGTGTCAGTCATTATAATAGCTTTTTTATTTTCTATTATAAATACTTGGAATTATAAAAATAAATTGTATATTCGATATTTTCCATTTTAATATCTAATTTCTTTAAGTTCGATAGCGGTGCTTTGAGGTGAAGTTCAAAGTGTACTATTAATTTCTCGTCCTATTCATAATTATAAGATGGGGTGAATTATACAAAATATTTAAAAAATAAATTTTTAAGTCACTAATTGATATTTTGGAAATTTTTATTTCATTTTCAAAGATAGCAAAATTTATATTTATTTATGTTTTTAACTTGATTCTTTGCTTTATTTAAACTTGATTCTTCCTTTATTTAAACTTGATTCTTCCTTTATTTACACTTGATTCTTGCTTTATTTAAACTTGATTCTTGCTTTATTTAGACTTGATTCTTCCTTTATTTAGACTTGATTCTTGCTTTATTTAAACTTGATCCTTGCCTTATTTGAACTTGATTCTTGCTTTATTTAAACTTGATTCTTGCTTTATTTAAACTTGATTTTTGCTTTATTTAAACTTGATTCTTCCTTTATTTAGACTTGATTCTTGCTTTATTTGAACTTAATTCTTGCCTTATTTAAACTTGATTTTTGCTTTATTTAAACTTGATTCTTCCCTTATTTAAATTTGATTCTTGCTTTATTTAAATTTGATTCTTGCTTTATTTAAACTTGATTATTCCTTTAGACTTGATTCTTGCTTTATTTAAACTTGATTCTTGCCTTATTTAAACTTGATTTTTGCTTTATTGAAACTTGATTCTTGCTTTATTTAAACTTGATTCTTCCTTTATTTAAAATTGATTCTAGATGATCTTGCCTCCATATGCAATGGGGTTTTAACATACACATGAAATGCCAATTTATACTGTTTATTTCGTGGTGAGACATATAAAGAATTTTCAATCTCGGAAATTTTTAAAGAACTAAAAATAATGCTTAAAATGTTTTATTTTATTACTTAATGCTTTATCAATGTATAAAATATTTTACAGAAAGTGGAGCTAGCAAACCTGTAATTAAATGTTCGTAATTTTAAGAGTGATGATAGTTTTCGAAAATAACATATTTTTAATAAGGAAATCAATCGATTAATTTTAAATGATCGAAGACATTCTGCAGATTGACTCAGCCCCTAAAGCAGTTCTTTATTTTTACCGCTTATTGCTTACGTTCCATTATTAATATACTCAAAAATTTTAATATCTAATTTTTTAAAAAAAAAAAAAAACGTGTGCTTTTTTTTTTTAGCTACATACATTCTTTTTCCCCCTCGCTAATCAATTAATGAATTGCTTAAGTTCCATATACTCAAAAAGTTAAAAGTACTTTTTTTTAAAGCTACATTCTTTCTTTTTTGCAGCTACTGAAATAATGAATTGTTTGAGTTCCATCTTTAATATACTCAAAAAGTTAAAAGTAAGCTTTTTTTTAGCTACATTCTTTTTTTTTTTACCGTTAATCAATTAATGAATTGTTTATATTTCAGCTTGACACTCAAAAAGTAAAAATTACGCTTTTTTCTCTCAATCGATTAGTTTAGGTCCCTAACCGAAATGAAGTAAAGACAAAAAAATTCGATTTTACTCTCTCCGGAATAGCAAATTTCGATTGAAAATTTCAGTCGCTTTAGAGCGAAAATTTAGTTATTAAATTTTAGTCATTGAAACTGAAGCGGAATACTTGTGCTCATTGTTGTTTAATGAATAGTGGTTGATAAAGGTTTAAAAACAATTAGTTTTACATTTCTAGTGATTTGTAACATTTGTTAAACTAGTGTTGCCAGACTGGTTACACTGCACTGAAAGTGGTGAAAATTAATTACTCCGATGTAAGAATTATTTCATTTTATAGCCAATTAAAATATCCACCACCTTTCGACAAACTATAAATAATAAAATGAAATAAAAATTCTAAAAACTTCTTCTTTTAAGAGGTGTTAAAAAGGAGAAAATGATTATACTATTTTCCATATCTCACATTAAAAACGTAAATTTCGTAATAAACTTCTATCCCCACGAAAAGTTCTCTTCTCTATCCTCGTCTTCCGAAAAGTATGTGTTTTACGCTTCTTGTTTCAACTGAAACAATAATCATTTTCTTCTTTTTTGACGCTTAAACAAGTGCTTTACTTTCTACCCAAGCTTTTATGAAATGATTGAGAATTAACGCATCTCACTCAAAGTACTTTAAAATACTATTCAAATTAATGTAATCACTATTTCATTTAATGTATGTAGTACAATATTTTAATATAATTACTAAATATTAAGATATACAAACTTTAACTTTCAGAATGATTTTTGATGTCCCATGAGTGCAAAGGGTTCACTACTTCAACTTTAAAGGCGGTCCTTAGAAAATTTAAAAAGAGTCAGAACAATTTAGAATATATAATATGATTTAATAAGTTTGTAATCACCACTTTACTTAAGATTTCCAAATAATTATAAGTATACTCAATGCTACTATTTCGCAAAACATTGCAAAGAGACATAGGCATACCTGCCAACTCTTCCGGAAGATTTTGTTTTCATATTTAAAGTGGTAGTAAATATATACTATTTTTTCTTTTATAAACTTAATTTTTAAATGATTTTGATCACCACTATTCTTACAAAAATTAAGCACATATATAAATATGCGTTACTATCATGGTTGTCAACTTAAGTTTTTTCAAATGCAACGTATTTGTTTGCTTAAAATTGAAGTTTTAATTCCATTTTAATACCACTGGGAAAAATGATAATGGAAGGGATTAAGAGTTGGCAGGTATGCATAGGCAATAACAAACTGAAGCTTTCATAATTTTGCTTAAATGTTAAAATNCACCGGAGTAAAAACTGGTAACAATAAATTTCATTTTTTAGTTTTTTTCCGGGAATAATAAAAATCCATAACTACCAATTGTTTTTAACGGATGCAATTTTTATAGTGAATTGCTTCTTCGCCATGATAAATTTCCTTACAGTGAATTGTTATTGTTGAGAAAAGATTAACTGCTCCCGAATATTATCTAATATTGAAATACTTCTTCTACCAGTATTTTCTCTTTTCCAGTACCAGTATTTTCACTTTTCCTGGCGTGAACGTGTTAATATACTCAAAGAGTAAAAAGTACGCTTTTTTAGCTACATTCTTTTTTTAAAATTACCGTTACTGAATTAATGAATTGCTTATGTTCCATTTTTAATATACACAAAAAGTTAAATATAAGCTTTTTTTAGCTACATTCTTTTTTTTTTTTTTACCTCTAATCCAGGGTTTCTTAACCTGTGGTTCATGGACCCCTTAGGGGTCCATGGGTCATATTTTGGGGGTCCGCCAACTACTCCTAATTTTCAAAACGTTTGGATCAATAATATTTAAACATTGATCTTTTTTTCTTTCTAAAAGGTGAAAATACATACATATTTGAAACTAGGTGATCGAGATACCCCAAATTCAGTGCTGACTGCACACAGCCCTCTAATATCCCTGTCATATTTTTAACATCCTCCACTAACCGGCTTTCAGTTTGCATCATCAGGGGCAACCCCCTGATGACGTCCGCTGTGCTATTTCTTATCATCCCCTACGTACATTTGATACCTTGTCCAGGTTACTAGATCTAGAATTTTATACTAAGAAGAAAGCCCAGTTTTTGAAATCTGGAACATTAACAAACTTGGATTTGGTATACCACAAAAACTTCTGGTTGAGGCATCTCTCAAAGTTACATATCGTATTGCCAAAAGCAAGTAACCGCCGACTATCGGAGAGACGTTAATTAAGCCTTCAATTTCAACGCCTTATGTACGCTGAAAATGGTTGAATTAGTTTGTGGACTGGAACAGAGAAAAAAAACTTGAAGCTATTCCATTGTCAAATGATGTAATACATTCAAGAATAGTTGAAATTTCTTGCAATATCTTGAAACAGATCGTCGATGAATTGATACTATCAAAGTGGAATTCTTATTTAGTGAGTCTCTTTTGCAAATTACAAAGGCAGTTGATATTGTAGCAATGTTAAATGTTTTCTTTACCAAACACGACTTTGACAGGAGAGAAAAACTTCATTCACTTTGTACAGATGGAGCACCTGCTATGATTGGCAATAAATCTGGTTTTGCCCTGTTGGTAAAAAAAGAGTCTCCTAATGTTCTTGTTACTCATTGTTTTTTGCATAGACATGCACAGGCTACAAAAACTCTTCCAATCAGCTTAAAAGAAGTATTATCAATAGTTATTAAAACTGTGAATTTTATTAGAAGTAGAGTTTTTAATCATCGTCTTTTTAAAACATTATGTCAAGAAATGGACGCAGAACATGAGATACTTCTGTACCACACAGAAGGGCGCTGGCTGTCCCGAGGGCAGGTTTTGAAACGAATTTTCATTTTGAAACAGAAGTATCACTTTATCGAGAAGAAAAAGATAACCCGCTCTTCGAATATTAAAAAAAAAAAATTTACATATAAATTGGCTTACCTGGCAGATATTTTTAACCACATGAACAATATCAGTCTTTTAATTCAAGGGCGAGATACCACCATCATGGATGCAACTCAGAGATTACAAGCATTCTTATTAAAAGTGCCGCTTTGAAAAAATAGAATTCAAAATGAGATTTATGCAAACTTTCAAATATTGGACGAAGTGCTTTCTGAAAATGGATCTTGGCAAGATAATTTGTTACTGAATAACTTGAAAAATGAAATCTGTAAACACCTGGAAGTACTTCGAGTTTCATTTAAAAAAAATTTTAATTTGG